TTCCCATAGGCAATGTGTGCACACCACTCTGTATTCTCTATGGCTTTAGGGGTTCTTGCCTCATTTTGGGATTTGAAATGGAAGCTTTCAGTGGAGCGGTTCCATTTTTATCCTGTTAAAACCTTTGTTTTCACCTAACTACATCTTTTCTTAGTCATATTTTCATGAAAAAGTAAGTGTATGTACACAATAGTCCATGCTTCGATAGTTATAAATACTGATGTTTAACACTTAAATGACTTAATGGGAATATTTTAGGGGTACTGTGCAAGACTGTACAATACTAGGCAAGGCAGTATTTGCTTAGGAGAATGGTTCAGGCATCCTGAAAGAAAAAAACACAGTGGTGCCACTTTGGTTTGGAGAGCGCCTTTGTTAGGCTTAAATTCATTTGTCTTTCTTTTAATTATAATAAAACCTCATTCTGTTAGAAGCACCAGTTTTTTTAATTCAAATTTTGTGGATTAGGTTGCTTGTAGACTCTAATCTAGTATTCAAAATATGTTGATCTTTCTAAAGATACAAGGACTTTCTGAATTTTTAAAAAATTGTTGCAACAGATTGATAATCTTGTTTCCTTTCTCCAATATGCATAATACAAAAGAAAAAGTTACATTTTTATGAATGGCAGACATTCATAGAAAAGTTTCTTCCTTGTGGTGCAAATAGTTTTTTTATATATGGGAGGACATCGCACATTGGACAGTTCTTTTACATTTTTATGTATGACCACAGTATCATTCTACAACTGAGCTTACTGTGTCTAAGTAATAAACTGGAATTCTGTTGATGAATATAGCTGCTATACTGTATACTGATATTTAATAGATCAAAAAAGGGTCATTGATAACACCTATTCAGCATTGGAACACACACACACAAATGTCCTAGAGAAATACTATGACAGTTGACTTTAAGATCAAAGGAAAGGAAGACCTGAACATTATAAGAACAGAACATCAGGGCAGGAGTAGTTTTTAGACTATACAAACAGGTTTTTATCCTAACAGGGCCTGCCTGTTACAGCCAGAATACAGTAACTTGCTAAATCATAAATGTTTAAGCTAATGGGATTTCATACTGTTTCTGTAGCTGTAGCTTTAAAATTCAGCATCTATAATTGGCATGGAAAGTTATAATTTGTAGTCTTTTCAAGCCTTTAAAGGATAGTGTGCGTGTGTGACAGACAACCTCAAATGTGAATGCCTTGATTTTATTTTTATAATACTTTAGCTACAGCATTTCCTGCTCCCAAAGCTAAACACTGGAATAATTCTGACTTGTCACTTAATTTAACATAAGTAATTGTTTTTAATTAGTAGTCTGTCTCAGTGTCATGTATATATTTGATGTTTTTCTCTTCTACATAATTTTATTTGAACAAATGTAGACAGTTTATGTGTTGCCTTTTTCTATTCAAATGTGCATGGCCTCAAGTTGGCTGAGGATTGTGTATTACGTGGAAATGTTCTCAAGATAATGTTCCTTAGAAGAAAGTAACATTTCTGGGTTGAGGGGAGGAATGCCATACTGTCACTCCAGCTTATAGGAGGAAAATGTAGAAGTACACCCATTTCCGACATTGAAAACCATGGAATACATGTAGCACTTAATTTGTTTTCCATTTACTTTCTCCTCAGGAATGAAAGGTAGCCCATGGTTGGTGTTCAAGTTTTGTGATCTGTTTATAACAGCAACCAATTTCATCTTGAAGATCTAAACTACAGTGTTTGCGTTAAGAGTGAGGCTTTAGGGTAGCATCAGTGAGTGGCTGTTTGTTTGCCATTGCAGCAGTAAGGTCGAACTAGGACTGTGTGCTGTCTGGACTCAGACATGGGGTCTTAACACGCAGATCTGTATCAAGGCACATGGCATTCCATGCCCTGCTTCTAGGAACTCTAAGGTGACAGGATATTTTTGCTGTCATTGAAGTCCTATAGCTCTGTCCTCCCTCATCAGCAAAGGTAGAGCAATAGAAATATTTATGTCCCAGACCTTTCTAAATCCTGGTGACATGGATGTGCTGATATTCAACACAGCCCTTACACAAAGTGAAAACTGAGTTGTTGCTGATGTTTTTAAAGAATATGGAAAAAAGCCTTGCTGTGTGCCCAGCTATACAGCCTCTCTGGCCACTTCCATTTTCTGTCCCTCTGTGGTTCTGCTGTGTGGGTTAGGTCTTCATCTCTTAGTACAGAAATGATACCAATAGCTAGTGAAATCACTTGGAAAATCCAAATAAGGAAATATCTTAATTTCCTAAATTTTCCTAAGTCAGAACAAATGAAAGAAAAATAGTATTTAGATCAGTCCAGATTTGCTTTCTGTGAAAATCTAATGTCTGGATATTTTTCCTCTTCATGGCCTAAGGAATAAGTATCAATAAGGAAGAATTTGAATGTAATTTTGTGAATGTGTGTGTAAAATATAAACCAGGGACTTAGCCTTAATAAAGGTAACCTTCCTGACATCTGTTGTTAACCCCCCTTTGAACACTCTTATCCTGTATCTGCACTCTGTTGAGATGTCATACTGCACACTGTATTATAAAAATAAAAAAGAAAATTATATTTCAAATTAAAAAAGCCATTGAGTACTTTTCTCTTACTGTGTTTATATCCTCTGCCATCTAAGGTTTCTACACATGTAAAAGCCACCCTCCTCTTGAAGGTGTCACTAGGTAGAATAATACAGGAACCCTTGGGTGAAACAGAAAAATAAATTTTTAATTTGTGCTTTATGGTGGGGGAAGGGCCCCAGTTGGCAGAGATATAGGTGGGTCCTGTTGCCTTAACTGTTAAAAGAAATACTTGTATAAAAGAGGGACAACTTACGGCTGTGAGCTTTAGAGTTTTCTGAGGAAGGAGGTATGTAATACTTGAATTTACCTTATATGCAACCAGATGTGAGGACACTGAGGAAGGCACATGAGTTGTTGGTAAATATGTAACATACTCATTTCTCCATTCTTTATTTCATCCCTTTTTCTATTTATTATACCACTACTCTCCCAAAGGACACAAATCACATCAAGTTTCATACATATACACCTGCTACTGCAATTATCACTCCAACTCTCCACATTATCTGTCCATTAGTTTTGATTTAAAAATGTTGAACTACAAAATTATCTGCCCTTTTGGAGGCAGTTTTTAGCCAAGGCCAATAAATACAAGAGCTTTATGAAGTCATAGGAAAAATGAGGGTCCTTTGGCTCAATGCTTTAAGATGAATGTTAAATTTACCCAAATAAATAAACCACTAAATAATCTTTGTCCCCATCTTCAAAACAACTTCTGCCTCCTAGAGAGGCAGTACATACTGCTTAAGAATCAAGACTCTGAGGTCTGGCAGATGGTGTAGTTGTTACATCACTGGATTCCCACATGGTAGACCATGGGTTAAGTCCTGGACCTGGTGGTTTCACCATCATACCAGGCACATGTGTGTGCCTTGCCCAACATCCTAGGAGAACAGAGAAGAGAAAGGGTTGTGGTGTGGCCATCTGCGGCAGGGGGCGGGGGGATTTTTTTTCACTTTCTGTGTATGAACCCTAGGGCAAAAACCTCTCAAAAACTAATCAAGGCTCTGAAATACTCAATTTATGTTCCAGCTATTATATTTGACCTATCAAAGTCTCAATTACTTATTTTTAAAATACCTATGACTCTGTTCATTTCTCAAATACTACTAAATTTACAATAAATCTGAGGTTTTAGTCTCTGAGCAGCAATGGGATTTCCAGAGACACTTGCAGGACTGTCCCCATGTCTTACCTTTATCCCAAATTTCAAGGGCTATTTAGGGGAGGCAGAAAGGATAATTAAAGGCTTTACTTGAAGGTAGAATGCCCAGATTTAAATCCTGGATTCACCACTTTCTAGCTTTTTAATCTAGAACCAATTAGTCAAGCTACTCATGCCTCCAAGTTTTTTCCTCCATGAAATGGGAAGTTAATATAAAAATGTACCCATTATGGTTATTCACAGACAATATATGAGAGGACTTCAAAAGCTTACGGAAAAATGGAATTGACGTATAAGTTTATTTCAGTGCAAAAAAGTTTGAAATCCAGTTTTTACATAATAGGTATTTTCAATTACCTTTTTGAGGACCTCTTGTAAATGAAAGAGTGCCAGGCACATATAACTAAGATCTATTATTCCGTAGCACGTGTTAAATGTTTGCAAAATCATTTTATACTTTGAAAAGCCTAGACTATGAAATCAACTGACTACAATACAATACTACTAAGGCTAGTATCACAATTTCATATCTAGAAACTGTTCCAAGGCCAATTGTGCTAAAAAATAACCAGAACTGGTTGCAAGAAAGACTGAGTAATCATGGATGGCTCATGCCAAATCAAACAGTACTAAAAACCTCGGTCACCTGATAGGGCCATTCAGAGGCCTCTTCCTATCTGAAAGACAGCAAGTTGTTAATTCCAAACTGGGAATTACTATTTTTCTTAAAGAAGAAAAAAAGTATTATGAAGCACTCTTAACTCATTGGCAATCATTTATTAGTACCCCCAAATGCAACAATTTTCTCAATGTAAGCCTTTCAGTGAATACTGATGTAGGGGTGGGGGGAAAAGGCTACCCACCTCCTACATGTCTGGATGACAACACTGTTTCCTAATCTGAACATAAAGATGTGACAGTTAAAAAAAATTAAGTTTAACTATAGGACACATGCACTTGTTGGAGAGACAGGGAGGGAGGGAAAGTGAGAAATCAAACAGCCCACAAGGGTGATGGCCACACTTCAATCCCTTCTCTTCCATTCTCTTCTGAGGATTTTGGGCATGCACGTACATGTGCTCACTGATTTTCAAGCCACCTGTTCTGGGACTCAAACCACACAGCCAGCCATTTGGGATCCAGCCGCCACAACCTCCATACCATCTGCTGGCCCCTGTGACAGTTATTCTTCACAATAGGTTAGTTTAAAAAGGAATAATACATTTTTAAATAATTTTACTGTTTATACTACAGTCACATTTAAACTGGCAGAACTGCTCCCACGGCAGATGAGACAGAGAGCTGTCCATGCAAGGAAAAATAAATGATTTCGTAAAGCTTAAGCAGGGAAGTACCACAGTAACACAACAATGGCTGCAGCAATCGGGAGTTAGAAGGCTTGCAAGTGGGTAGGAATGAAGGCTGATCCACAGCAGCTGGCCTGAGACGCTGTTTCCTAATGTGTAGTTCCTACTGTTTTTAGTAAACAGATCACATATAATACAGATATAAATGGTTAGGGTGATACTTGCAGAATAAATTCTATAAGTTCCTGGACAGATTGCACAAATCTCTCATTTATGATAAATCGTTGCTAAACTACAATTCTGCAAAAGTACTCCCATATGTGGGTAATCAGATAAATTTTACAACCAGTGAAGTTCTTAGGCCAAAAAATAAATAGCCACACATACCAAACCTACACACTGAATTAAAATGGAGCCAGTGTTAGGGTTTTTGTAAGACCCAGAGCAGGGAAGATTATTCAAACAGAAGATCCTCATCCTTCTCTTCAGCCAGGAGATTAGCAGGCTCCATCACCTCTCCAGCTGCTCTCCTTTGTTCTAGGTCCTTCTCCGATTTTTCCTTGAGAATCTTTTTCTTCTCTTGTATTTTCTTTAGCCTATAAGATAAAGGGGGTAGTTCTCTGAATGCGGTTACATTACTAAGTACTAGACTTGATTTCTAGTTTTGTATCAAAGATAATACCAGAACAAAAATTTGATACTTCAATTTTGGTGATTTATTCATAATCTTTTTTTAATTTTTTGAGACAGAATACACTCCATTTCAGGCTAAAAGCTGTTTTCAGAAGCTCCTACTCCAGGTTAAACAAATTTAAAAATTCATTCCCTAATGGAACAGATTTTGAGCATGCAACCGTTTATTAAAATTTTGGACTACTACAACCTTGAACATCACTGAAGAACAGAAACTAAACAAAATAACCTTTGATAAGTAAGGTCAAAAATCCTGCTCAGATGCTACTCCAGGTCTAGGGCCTCCAGATATTCCCCTGAATACTAATTTCAGCTCCCTCTCATGTGTCTGAACCGAGTACACTGACCCCTGAACTCTGATTGAACAGTTACTTATCTCCACTGGCTCTGAGTGCTCATAACCAATGCATGCGCATGCACTCTTTCTCTCCAAATAGTGTCCTAACTCTAAATGTTATAATTTATGCTACTTAGTAATGCCCCCAAGTACTTTACACCATTTCCAGAACATACTCATTGTCCATTAATTCCAGTTTCTTCTCTCAGTTTTTTGTGTGACACAATCTAAATCCTCACTCTTTTAAAATCAAGTCTTAATAGTTCGTCTCAAAAGCCCATGGAGATGCCATGCAAAACTTGGTGGATGCAAAACGTGAGACAGATCTTTTCTCCACAGCCTTTGGAAACATTATTCCCTGCTTATTTACTAGAATAAAATGTAAGCTGTGTGAATTCTTATGAACACAAGCCACACTAACCACTCAGCAAATTGAGGCTTTGAAATATGGAAAAATAAAAAATAATTGCCAGAATCAACAAACCTATAGAATTCTTCACGCTCTCTCTCATCCAGCTCTGTGATGATATAAGCGAGGGTACGTTCAATCCGGGGAATGATGACTAGAGTTAAAAAATACATATTTATATGAGAACTTCAAGCCCGTTTTTCAAATTAGCAGTGCTTATTTCCATAATTATTAATTTGTTTCTAATTGTAAAGTTAATGTACATTTAATGCAGAGAACTTTGAAAACAAAAACATGAAGGAAAAAAAAGTGTAATCCAACCACTCAAAAGTAACTACTATAAATATTTTGGTAGGTGCCTTTCCTGTATCTTTTATATGAACAGATCATTTATTGGACCACAAAAGACACAGCACTGAATATACTAAATATGTAACACTGAAAAATGAATGCTATTTTATTAATAAATAGTGATCTACTGTTTAAAAAAAATCAGAAAATGCAGGGAGTTTGTAAAACATCAGGGTCCTACTTTACATATAATTTTCCTATTCTGCTTCTAGAAATGTGAACTCTTGGAGGGTTAAGAACTATTAATCTTATTCATTTTATTTTACCTGAAGTTCCATGTATAAGGCCTAGCACTAGCAAGCTGTCAAGGAATCCATTTAACTTTTTTTTTTTTATGTTTTTTTGTCATAGGGCACACATGCACTTGCTGGAGAGAAACAGACAATGATAGGGAAAGTGAGAAATCACCTCCAACCCCAGGGTTGAGGGGGGGTGCCCATGCACTTGGTGTGATTTTCCAGCTGCCAGGCATGGGATTCGAACACAGCCAGCCATGCAGGAGTACAGCACCTACACCACACCACCTGCTGACCTGTGTTGAGTTTTTTTTAAAAATGAGCTAACTAAGGGACCAGCAGATGGCATAATGGTTACGTCGCTGGACTCCTACGTAGTCAACTTCAATTAGAGTCCCAGACCAGGTGGCTTAAACTCATGCCAGGTGCATGTGCGTGCGTGACCAAGATCCCAAGAGGAGAATGGACAATAGATTGCGGTGTGGCCATCCCATCTCACTTTCTGTTTCTTTCTCTCTCTCTATGGCAAGTGTATGTGCCCTATAGCAAAAACCTCTCTTAAAAAACAGACAAAAAAACTAACCAGGCTAGCAGGTGGCATGTTTAAGGCATTAGATCCCATATGGCTGACTTTGTGGTCTGAGTCCTGAACCCGGGGTTTTGAAGATCAAGCCAGGCGCATATGTGTGCCCAAAATCTTGACAGGAGACTGGAGAAGGGATTATGGTCTGGCCATATCCCAAGGGGGTCACTTCTCACTTTCTCTCCCTCTGTCTTTGGCAAGCACACATGCCCTATAGCAAAAAACTACAGGGAAAAATGAGATAACTTCCTCTCAAACACTAATAGAACCCTAAACAAGGAATTTAATCTCTGCTTTAAATTTTCTTTCTTACCTTAGAATTAAAGCAATGTTTCTCTTTTTTTTGGGGGGGGGGGAAGGTTTTTGCTATAGGGCACGTGCGCTTACCAGATAGACAGAAATCACCCCTCAGTGGGGATGGCACGCCACAATCCCTTCTCCTCCATTCTCCTCTCAGGATCTTGGGCATGCATGCACACGCGCCCAGTGTGAGTTTAAGCCGCCAAGTCTGGGGCTCGAACCATGGTCAACTACACGGGAGTCCAGCGACATAGCCATTACACTAACTGTTGGCCCCTAAAACAATGTTTCTTTAATGAGAACTGAGTTTCCCAGCAAAAATCATTGACAACACTAAGGCGAGATACATTATAAATAAATAAATAAATAAATAAATAGAAATAGAAAATAAAGGAAAAAATTTATTTTTAGAAATCAAGAATAGCCTAATGGGGACTAGCATACAGCATAATGGTTTAGTCTCTGGACTCACATATGACCAACCACGGTTCAAGTCCTGGACCCAGAGGCTTGAAACTCATGCCCAAGATCCAGAGAAGAGAATGGAGAGGGGACTGCAGTTTGGCCATATCCCCCCACCCCCGGGAGTGATTTCTCCCTTTCTTTCTCTATCTCCTGTGAGCACACGTACTCTATAGCAAAAATCTCTCTTAAAAAAATAGTCTAAAGGAAAGGTATTTAAAGTTAAATGTTTAATGTATTTGAAAAGATTATTTGTTCAAGCATTAGAACTAAAGAAAACAATTAGCGGTCTTAAAGTTTCTACCCTTTACATGAAATATCAGAAATAAGACATTTCATTATTTTTAACTCATCACTTTCCTCAGTAACTCTCAAATGACACACATACTTCTATCAAAGCACTTCCTAACATTTTTTTGTGTGCTAGTGAAGCACTTCTGTCTTCATGTAGAGGCAGTGCCTTACCTTTCAGTCTCAGTGCCCGAGTCCCAGTGGCTGCATAAAAAGTGGGGGGAAAAGACACGTGGATGGACAGAGCACCTCACAGCAGCTTATACTCACCATGTTCAATGGCATTCACACGCCTGTTGGTTATCTTAATGGCTTCATCCAGAGTAACAAAGGAAGTCTAAAACAAGAGGACAAGTTAATAAAGTAAGCCCAAAGTCCTCCTAATCATGCCCTATTCACTTGGCTCTACTCAGACTGCACTTGTAGAAGACATTTGGGGAGAGCCAGCAGGTGGCGTGGTGGTTAAGGCACTAGATTCCCACATGGCCAACTGCAATTCGAGTCCCAGATTTGGCAACCTGCTTTCTCACTCTCCCCTGTGCCCTGGCCCCATCTCTCTCTGGTCAGTTCATGTGTCCTATGACAAAAAAATTAATAAATAAACAATTCTTAAAAAAAAAAAACACATTTGGGAATCAAGACAACTTTCAGCATGTTTAAACAGAAAATTCTGATGTTTCCATAGAACTGACACCATTTCCAAGATACTTAATTTACTCCAGACTCACCTAAGTCAAGGAAGAAAAATGAAAGAAGAGAATCATATGTAAATAACCTACATAGATAGATAGATAGATAGATAGATAGATAGATAGATAGATAGATAATCAAATGGCCACCAAGAAAAAAAAAAGGCCCTCATTCAAACTGTTATATTTGCATTTCAATCAAGCTGCTGTCTTACCTGACAGTGAGACTATACCATTACATGCACATTTTGTTAATAATAAGGCACTATTTCAGAAATCAAAACATTAGGCTTGTTTTGCATAGTGTCATAGAAAAAGGAAAGCACAAAGTTCAGTATGCCCTGACTCAAAACCTGAATCTCCTTGATTTGGCTATTAGAAATCAAACCACAGGAGTTCTCTAGCTCTTCTGCTACTTACCTGCAGTGAAGCTAGTTCCACCAGTAGTTCCACTGCTTTGGCATAATTCCTCTTTAATTTAGCCAGCTGTTCACCTCCTCTGGCTAGACCAGTCAGTTCATAACCTGAAATAACCAGTTAGACATTTGTAATTAGAGAATAAATCATCTTCCCTGTAAAGTTTTCAAAAAAGACAATTCAGAATAATATCAAATATGTAAAGAAAGCGTCACTAGCCCATAAAATAACATGAAGTATGCATCTCACTCCTCAAACATTGGAGGAGCATGCTGCTAAAAATGTTGCCCACCAGGATACTATTTTAAATAAAACTATCAAAAGAAGAGGAGTTTTTAACCAACTTTTCACCACCGGCTCACTGGATTAGCCAGTGGTCCCTGTTCACTTTGAAAATCATGCTGCCTGATGCCCACAGCACAGTGGCACTCTCTGTTAGCAGGTGGCTCTCTAGAACGTTCTAGTTCTTTATAGAAGCTATACTTAATATCCTATATGATTTATTTTTTTAAACAATTATTTAATTTTATTATGAATTTTTTAATTAGATGAGAGAGAGCAAGTGAGCCACCAGGTCTGGGACTCAAACCATGGTTGGCCATGTAGGAATCTAGCACCTCAAACACCATGACACCGCTGGCCCCAATATCTCATATGACTTGAATAGTACATGAACATGGGGCCAGCAGGTGGCATGGTGGTTAAAGGCACTGGGCACCCCATGGCTGACTGAGGTTCGATCGAGTCCCAGACCTGGTGGCTTGCTTTCTCACTTTCCCTCTCTCTTTCTCTGTCTCTCTCTAATTAAACAGGAAAATAATAATAAATTTAAAAATTCTATTTTTAAAAATAAAAAAAATATTATATAAACCAATTTAATAACTAGAAAGAATACTTTTGTTTCTATTAAAAAAAAAAAAGTCAGTTTGGAAAGACTACCAAAAATATGTTGTCAAACTGGAAATGGAATGGATAAAACAATTACAAAAAATTAAGAGTGGGTTATAGAAATCTAGAATGATCCAGCATCATTGTCTAAGATCTTATTGAATTTTTACTTTAAAAAGTCTCAAATTAGAAATAATGAATAATGCATTAAAGGTGTGATTTATGCAGAAAGACAACACAGAAGTCAAGTGAATTCACAAAGTAAAAGCCCCTAGTTTTTGTTTCTGTTTCTTTTAAAGGGTATTTCTTCCAGAGAAAGAGACAGAGACTGACAGCAACCCCAACAGACTGTCAATGCCAGTATCTACCCTCAGTCGGCACCAGGACACAATCACACGTCATCAGGAGATTTCTGGACACAAACCTGGGACCTTCTCATGTAGAAAGCCTCACAGTCCTTACATTTCAGGGTTGTGCCACCATCCTGCCCCACTTTGTATTTTTAAAATGGCAGACGACTATGCACTGATATATTTCTAGATTGAAATACAATTTTTAAGATATTTACAATGTTTTATGACTTCCTGCCACAATATCTTTTTGATTAACTGATCAACTACGGTCCTGATAATAGGGCTTCTAACACTGAAACCTCTGAACTCTAAAAAGATTTATCTAGTATCATTTTCCAGAACAAGACTCATTTTAAGAGGAAACAGATTATTCTTAAAATGCCACCTTCTCTCCCACTTTTAAAGTGGCATGGTGGTTAAGGCACTGGATTCCCACATGGCTGACTGTGGCTCAAGTCCCAGACCTGGCAGCTTGCTTTCTCACTTTCTCTCTGGTCAAATTAAAATAATAATAAATTAATTACATTTTTTATAAAAAAAGAAAGAGAGGAAATTGGAGGACTGGCCCCAAAACCTAATGATTAAGGGAGCTAGATCCCACATGGCTGACAGCATTTAGGGTCCCGGCCCCAGTAGCCTGAAAAACATGCTGGCATGTACATGTGCATGCCCAAAATCCTGAGAGAAAAACAGAGAAAAAGGGATTGTGGTCTGACAATGCCCCACTGAGGGAAGCTTCCTCTCTGTCTCTCTCTGACAAGCACAGGCATCCTCTGGCAACTGAAATAAAAATAGAAAGGAAACAGGAGACACAAACATGAAAGATTCATACTTACTGTCAGTTCCTTCATGGTAATGTTCAAATACTGGCAAAGTAACACCTGTCAAATGCAGAAGCAAATATGGATTCACAAACATGGTCTTGAAGTACTATTTCTTTCTTTCATTATTTCATTACTTTTTTTTTTTACATCTAATCACTGTGTATCATTATAGTATACCAAATGAGTTTTCCCATAATGAATACACTGTATAACGATTCAGTTAAAGACAGCACATACACATTCTAATCAACAGATTTCTTTCTGCCTTGGGTCCCTTAAACGTTCTGCTACCGTCTTCCCTGATTCCCTCCCTCTCACCAGCCCTGCTTCCTGCCCTCCTCCCGCACTCTCTCCAGTAGCACCACTGCTCTCCATGCTTTCCTAATGACTGTTCCCTGTGTTTCTTTTCATCAGATACTCCGAAATCAAGAGATTAAGTCTGCAATTGTAACTGGCTCAGTGAATAAATTTAGGAACCTGCCTTCTCAAATGTTCATTTTTATTCAAAATTCAAGTTAATCCTGTGTAATCAAGAAGCTGGTTGCTAATGGTTTTAATATGTGAGGCCAGGTAATTTGCACTAAGTAGAAGACAGAAACTAGCAGCATCTTGCTGTATAAACAGGTTAATCTTAAATGTCACCTTCTCTCCCAGTTTTAAAGGGGTGAAAAGTTACCTGCTACATTATCTTTCTTCGCTCGAATCTTCACTTGGGCTTTATTTACATTTTGGATAACTGTGGTGCTGCAGAAGAAGAAAAAACCCTTATTTAGTTGTCTTTTTAGAAATAAATCTACAAGGACCCATTGGATAAATCTCAATGTTAAATAGATCAATGGTGAGATGTCAAATGTTTTGATAATCGCCCCTCTTCGTAAGAGGAGAAAAATGACTGCTGCCAGAAGAGGACACCAGAGAGCAGAGAACAAACAATATTCAAAGCAGCCATAAGGAAATAGCAAAGATATATTTTAAACTACCTGGACCGCTTGCATTTTCAGTCATACCATGCAGTGCACTGATGTGACTTTAGTCACAATTGCTAGTGCAATCCGGAGGACAATTTCCTTCCTCCTAAGTTTGTTGCTAATTGGTTAGCTGGCATTTAATTCCTTTTCTTTTTTTTTTGAAGAGGTTTTTGCTATAGGGCGCGTGCATTCGCCAGAGAGACAGAGAGACAGAAAGTAAGAAATCACCCCCTATGGGTGGATGGTCACACCACAATCCCTTCTCCTCCATTCCCCTCTTGGGATCTTGGGCACGTACGCACACATGCCCGGTGTGAGTATAAGCCACCGGGTTCGGAACTCGGACCGCAGTCAACTACATGGGAGTTCAGCGACATAACCATTATGCTAACTGCTGGTTCCTTGTAATTCCTTTTCTTTCTTTTTTTTTTTTTTTTGGTGAGATTTTCGCTATAGGGCGCGTGCACTCGCCAGACAGACAGAGACAGACAGAGAGACAGAAAGCGAGAAATCACCCCCCGGGGGGATGGTCACGCCGCAATCCCTTCTCCTCCATTCTCCTCTCGGGATCTTGGGCACACACGCACACGCGTCCGGTGTGAGTTTTAAGCCACCGGGTCTGGGATGCAAACCGCAGTTGACTACGTGGGAGTCCAGCGACATAGCCATTACACTAACTGCTGGTTCCCTTAATTCCTTTTCTTGAAGCTACCAAACTTCCATCTGGTTCTGTCTAACTCCCCACCTGTTACCATCATAAAGGAAGTGTCTTCTCTATAACTACCCTAAAACACACTCACATCCCACTTACACACTACAGATGTGCAATGTTTTTCCTCTGCTGGAAAACCCAATGCAACTGTTACCCTACCAGCATTAAATTAAAATCTACAACTTAAAAGGGCCTTGTGGCCCTAAGGCAGTTAAAGCTTGTCACCAAGGAAAGCTCCTAGATAAGATAAACTAAGGTCAAACTAAAAACAGAGGCACCATTTGGGGGAAGGGGAAAGCCTAAAATCAAAAACTCTGAAAACAACTTCCAATTCTGCCCCTAATGTGCTTCAGGAAAGCATTTAACTTAAACTAAGAATAATAATGCTTGACTTTTCTGCCTCACAGGGTTATTTTGGAGAATCACATATAGCATACGTAAATGGCATAACCCATCTGTAAACCATATTGTATGTTTATCTGTGGAAAAACACATCATGACTTTTCCAACAACCCAATAATCTTGTCTATCCTCAAAATTTTATCCTAAGGAAATAACTAAATAGAAACAAAAATATTTATGTATGAAGATGTTCACTCTATCTTTTTTAAAAAAGTATTTTATTTAAATTTATTTATTTATTTTAATTTGACCAGAACAGAGTGAGAGAGAGCAAGAGAGAGGAAAAGTGAGAAAGCAAGCCGCCAGGTCCAGGACTTGAACTGTGGGAATCCAGCACCCTTAACCACTATGCCACCTGCCAGCCCCATTCACTCTACCTTCTCTAATACTCCAAAAACCCAAAATCAAAACGAAGGTCCAACATTAGAAGAAAAGTCTAACACACTTGGTACATCTGGAGAAAGATTATATAGTTACAGGGGAACAACAAAAAATCGAGGCTGGCAGGTACTGTGGTGGTTAAAGGCACTGGATTCCCACATGGCCGACTGCGGTTTGAGTCCCAGACCTGGCGGCTTGCTTTCTCACTTTTCCTCTCTCTCTGTCTCTCTTTGGTCAAACCGAAATAAACAAATGAATAAATAAATGAAATCATTATTTTAAAAAATGTTCATGATACAATATTACCTAAAAACAGACTATATTAAGTATCCTGTGCCTGCAGTGATGTAAGAGATACATATGGATGGTAATGAGCCAGTGCTATTAAGGTGACGAGGCTCAGAGTTCTTCCTTAGTATTACTACATGGTTTGTCTTTAATATTTTATGTATTTTTAATTAAAAACGTTTTAAAATAAATTTAGGAACATGAAAGCATTTTGTTTTCCAAAACACCCATTTAGTCTTCTTACCTGAAGTCCCCTGCTGTGAATTTGGCCTCAGCGAGTGAAAAGGCAGCTTCTCTCATCACTTCACCCATCAACATTTTAGTCTAGAAAAGTATAAGCCAACAGCAAATTCAACCAAGCTTTTAATAAAGAAAAATCCTATCATAAATATGTACCTTTAATAATCAACAGTTCTTTATGTTACATGTACATATAAACATTGATTTGATAACAATAAAACAAATAAAAATTTCCAATAATGAACACTTTAGGTTATAGTCACTAACAATGCTACAAAACCATGAGTTTTATAGTTAAAACAGCAGAATAAATGCATTAAGAAATAGAAAACGGGGGCCAGAGGTGGTATGGTGGTTAAGGCACTGGATTCCCACATGGCCAACCATAGTCAAGTCCTAGACCCAGCAGCTTGAAAGTCACACTGGGCGCATGTGCTAAAAATCCAAAGAGAAGACTGGAGGAGAAGGGACTGCGATGTGGCCATCCCCACAGGGGATGATTTCTCACCTTCCTTCTCTCTGCCTCTCTCTGGCAAGGCACACACACCCTATGACAAAAACCTAAACAATAATAAAGAAATAGGAAACTGAATCTTTACTGCAGTACATATCTTAGTTCTAAATGGGTACATGCTGATGTGCTCCAAATTAGTCTCTTAAATTCACCACAGGTGCAGTCAAAATCCTAACAGCGTACTGATTCTAAAGTACTTCTAAAATATTTTGTATTGTCTTGTTTATTGCCAGAGAGCACATGGGCTCTCCTGAGACAGACACAGGTGGGAAAAGGAATAAGGACCCCTAGTAGGGTGTGGTCATGCCTCAATTTCTTCTCTATTTATCCATCTGTGGGGACTCTGGGTGTGTGCACTGTACTTGGTGTTTTATTCAAGCTGCTGGAGATGGGACTGAGACTGTGGTCAGCCATGTGAGATCCAAATCCCTTAACTGTTAGGTTACAGGAGCCCTCTCTAGAATATTTAATGCTTGAAAATATCCAATAATTCTTTTTAAAAAGAAGAAAAACTGGATCACAGTTCTGAAATCACAGTTCTGGCTAACTAAGTATTAAATATATACAGATGCAATAATATATATGGTATGAGAAATACAAAGAAAAGAAATAGAATAAGGGATTCAGAAACAACCTTGGGTCTATATGAGAATTTAATGTGGTAAAGAAGGCCATTCAACTACCCATCCATTTACGAAATGATTAAAGTTAAATCCCTCACATCATATCCCACCCCTCCCTAAAAAATCTAGACATATTGGGAACCAGCAGTTAGCGTAACGGCTATGTCACTGGACTCCCACGTAGTCGACCGCTGTTCGTGTCCTGGACCCGGTGGCTTAAAACCCACGCCAGGCTCGTGTGCATGTGTGCCCAAGGTCCCGGGAGGAGAATGGAGAAGGGATTGCGGCGTGGCCATCTCCCCGGGGGGTGATTTCTCACTTTCTGTCTCTCTGTCTCTCTCTGTCTGTCTGGCGAGCGCACGTGCCCTATAGTGAAAAACCTCTCAAAAAAAAAAAAAAAATCTAGACATATTAAAAATAAAAATTTTAAAAAAAAAGAAACTATAGGGTCAGCAGGTGGCATAGAAGTTAAGGCATTGGATCACTTATGGACAGCTGCATGGTTCAAATCCGGTCCCAGAAGCTTGAAAATCATATTGGGTGTGTATATATTTGTCCAAAATCCGGAGAGGAGACTGAAGAAGGGATTGTAGAGTGGCCGTCCCCACACCAAGAGGCTGGATGGGATTTCTCACTTTCTCTCTCTCTCTGGCAAGCATACACACCTTATAGCAATAACTAAAAAACAAACAAAAATAAAATTTTAAAAGACTATAAAGTAATAAAAAAAAAAGTAGAAGCATAGCAGGTGGCATGAAGTTAAGGTCAAAGGTTTCCACATGGCTGAATGTGTGGTTTGAATCCTAGACCTGGCAGCTTGGAAACATGCCAGGCATGTGTGCATGCATGCGTGCCAAAAATCCTGAGGAGAAAATGGGGGAGAAGGAATTGTAGGGTGGTCATCTCTGCTAGGGGGGTGGGGGGGTCACTTCTGACTTTCTCTCTCTTTCTCTGTCTGTCTCTCTCTCTTTCTGTCTCTCTCCAGTGAGTGCACATTCCCTGTGGCAAAAATGAAAAAAAAAAAGTTTTAAATAAAAACTAAGGTAATATGGTCACTTCAGATTGGGTGATCATGAATGGCTTTCCTGAACAGATCACAATGACCAGGGAGGACAGTCTTAAGAAATTCTGGTAAAAGACCATTTCAGGCAGGAACCGCAGTTAGCGTAATGGCTATGTCGCTAGACTCCCACATAGTCGACCGTGGTTCACGTCCCGGACCCAGTGACTTAAAACTCACGCTGGGCACGTGTGCGTGCGTGCCCAAGATCCCGAGAGGAGAATGGAGGAGAAGGGATTGCGGTGTGGCCATCCCCCCTGGGGGGTGATTTCTCGCTTGCTGTCTCTATGTCTCTCTCTGTCTCTCTGGCGAGCGCACGCGCCCTACAGTGAAAATCTCTCTCAAAAAAAAAAAAAAAAAAAGACCATTTCAGGCAGAAGAACCAGCTCACAGAAAGGCCCTTAAGGAGGACATCAGGAAAATGCACCAAAAGAGGTAACGGGACAGGCAGGGGCAAGACAATCAAATAGGGCTTTGAAGACAGAGTAAGGAGTTTGAATTGTGTTAAGTAAACTATCTGAAACTGTTACAATAGTATTTTTATTTTTGAAAGCAAAAAATTCATTGAAAAACTTAGAAAAAAAATCAAAATGCCAAGGGCCACGTTGGATTTTCCTTTCTAACAAATACCGTAGTAAGTAAAGTTCATTTTACCTCTATTATCTTCTTTAGGATCTGTCGAAATCGAAGAGTTAAGGCATCAGATTTTTTCTTTAGGAGGTTTCGACCTGTCTGTGCTCCTTTTAATCGAGCCTTCATAATGGTCTGTGCCCTATAAATAAACAGAGTTAAAGGCATTTCTCCCCAAGGTGTAAAACACAAAAATATTAAAATATTACTGACCTTAAGTATTAAAATGTCATTTATTCTTTGCTGTAGACAGAAAATACAGCATTTGTAGCTGACAGGTATAACTTTTCCAACACTATAGATTTCTACCATCGGTGTTCCATAAATGAGAAAGTTTTTAAAACAGAAACAATTCTATAATAAATATTTATTAAATTATAAAAAATTATAAGGAACTCTATTTTATGATTCCAGCAGTTTAAATACATATATGATTTGTAAGTCAAAGCAATATATATGTTTGTTTTCATTAAAATTTTGTTAAGCATAAAAAAAACTATCTACGAACGTATCTCAAAATTTGAATGCAATGACCTTCAGACCTGCAATTCCACTTTGAGAAGTAGTTATCTTACATCTTTATCCCCATGTGTACAAAAACTTGCACAAGGTTAAGGATGAGTACTCTAGCCTTTATCTGTAACAGCAAAGGATCAAAATGAGCTAAATGTTAAATAAATCATGGCTCATAATACCATGGAATGATATGCAGCCATGAGAAAAAAGGAAGACAGATCTATATATTCTCTCTACATTGTATTCTCTTATACACTTTATATCTCAAAGTAAGGATAAATATAAATTTGTTTATATAGAGGCAGAGAATTGTTCTAAAGAGTATTCAGAGGAAGCAGCAAGCTTCCTTTGAGTAATAGGGTGAAAAATATGGGTTTACATTGTACTATAAGAATCTCTAATCTAGAAATCCTGGACTGGCCCTGTGGCCTGGTGGTTAATGGAACCATATCACATATGGCTGGCCGAGCAGTTCCAATATCAGCCAGGGATGGGGGAAACACACCAGGCACGAATGTATGCATGCCCCAAATCTTGAACAGATGGAGAGATGGAAGAAAAGAGATTGTGACATGATCATATCTCACCAGGGAGTGCTTTCCTCTCCCTCTGGCAAGCATATGCACTCTCTGGCAATTAAAAAAAATTGTTTAATTCAGAATCTGAAATGCTTCAAATTAAAAAAAAAATTTTTTTGGAGAGGTTTTTACTATAGGGCACATGGGCCTGCCAGAAAGACAGAGAGACAGAAAGCAAGACATCACCCCCAGGGGGGATGGCCACACTGTAATCCCTTCTCCTCCATTCTCCTCTCGGGATCTTGGGCAAACACGTACACACACCTGGCGTGAGTTTAAGCCACCAGGTCCGGGACTCGAACCGCAGTCAACTACATGGGAATTCAGAGACACAGCCATTACACTAACTGCTGGTCCCCAAATTCAAATTTTTTAAAGCACTGACATGACACTACAAGTGGAAAGTCTACATCTAACCTCATGTGATAGACTATGGTCAAAAAACTCCAACAGAAAATATAAGATTATCTTCAGGCTATGTGTATAAGATATATATGTATGTATGTATGTATGTATGTATGTATGTATGTGTGTGTGTGTGTGTGTGTGTAGCATAAATGAATTGTGTGTTTAGACTTGGGTCCCATCCTTAAGATCTAATTATGTATAAGCAAATACTCCAAATCTGAAATACTTCTGGTCCCAAGCATTTCAGATAAGGGATATTCAACCCATACTATATTATTTTGTACTTTTTGCATTTTAATACCAAAACCATTTATTATATTTTCTGTTAAACACTTTTAAGTGTTTTGATATCATCAATCTAAGACCCTAATACCAACCATTTTATTAATTTGTAAATGACCCCAGGTAACAAATGATATAATACTCCTGCAAAGTTATAAGCAATTACAAGCTAAATTTATACTGAAGTCTTCTCACCATAATTTTTTTCTCTATCAGTAGCTCCAATACCAAGTCAATCAAACAATGCAGAAATTGACATTTCTGGTTTTGCTGCCATATGCCAAGTAAAATTTAATAATAAAAAAATGGTTAATAAGATTCAGCAACAGAATGTACAATTTAGATACAGTGATTTGTATAAGGAGATACAATTTCACATGACCTGGTGTTAAAATCAACTGCAAAAGTATTAGGGTGTTGAGAAAGTCATGATGTGTTTTTCTATACAAAAATGTGTGAGGACTTTCCCGACAGCCCAGTAACGTGTACTACGGACTTTTGTCCAAATTCTTAGATTATACTGAAATCTTTTACCATAGGGTTAAGGTTACTGAAGACAATCTATGGCTGGAAGAATCTTTAGACATTAACTTAACAATTACGAAAATGAGGCTCAGGAAAGTAAAAAAAACTTTCCTACAGTTACTCAGTGAAAAAAAGGCAGGGCCATATTTCTGACTCCATGAATTGCCCAAGACTCAAATCTTGGCCCAAATTTCGGTCCTCTATACCCCAACCATGTGCTATGCTGCCCCACCCCTTAAAAATGATAGTAGCAGTACCAGCAGTTAAGCGTAATGGCTATGTCGCTGGACTCCCATGTAGTCGACCGGGTTTCGAGTCCTGGACCCGGGGGCTTAAACTCACGCCGGGCATGTGTGCACATATGTCCAAGATCCCGAGAGGAGAATGGAGGAGAAGGGATTGCGGTGTAGCCATCACCCGGGGGGGTGATTTCTCGCTTTCTGTCTCGCTGTTTCTCTCTGTCTGGTGAGCACACGTGCCCTATAGCAAAAACCTCTTAAAAAAAAAAAAAAAAAGATAGTAGCAGCAATGAACAATTCTCTCTCGGAAAAGCTGGCCTATCAGTGGCTGACTGCACTGATGGGCCTCACCAGAGGTCTACTCAAATGAAGCTGCTTTGGTGTCCAGCCTGAGCGGGAGCTATCCACCCAATGTCTACATTTAGCATACTGTAATGTTGACTAAATACTGGAGTTTGGGCACAAAGAGTTGGATCAAATTTAAGTCAAATCCTAGCAGTGCAAATTCCAGCAAGTTTATAGTACTAAGGTGAATTCATTGATGAATGCTGAATTTACCAAGCTAATTTTAATTTCCTTTGAGGTGATGGTACCTCTGTGAAATGAAAACAATTTAATTATTGAGACCTGCCCAAGAACATAGAGCTAGTGTGTAGTAAAACCTGGATTTGAAAGATTTCTGTTCATTCCAAATCATTCATGCCTCTTTTGCTTCCACTCTAAATTTCTTTTGCTTTCTCTGGTGCACAAGTGGATGAAAACATTCCACAGGATAATACTGTAAAGTAGAAGTGTTTGTGAAACAGAAGTTACTAGTGTAGGTCATTCTAGCCTAGGTCATTAAAAACTTCTTTTACATGTTTCAGAGCTGCTCAGCCCTACTATAAAGCAGCTAGGATTATGACCTTGTTTCCAGCTGAATCAAAGACATCTGACTACATGACAAAGAACCTGCTGTCAGGCCTTGGGAAAAATACTTGGAGAAGCAGTTACTTCCTGCACCTGATTTTTCTCTTGATTAGTAAGCTGGGTGCTCTCAAATAGCAGTTTTCAACTTCACAAACCCATCACTTTTTCTTGTCAAAAATTATTTTAGCCTGTTAGTCTCCAAGTAAAAACAAAAAGATTAACATTCTAATTTCTGTCAAAGATAAACACAATCAGGCATTAGTTAAAGCAATGACAATGTTTTATTCCTCAAACACTGACAGTAGGGGAAAGAGCAAATTTCCGCTCTATAGGTGATTGTGTGTTTTGAAGAGAATGAAGGAGTGGAGGGGAGCAAGCCTCAAGTAGAGTCAGAGAAATGAAAAATTACAAAGGATTTGGGTCAGTTTAAATGATTCCATTCTCCCACAGAGACTGGGAGACAGAGACCCTACCCTACCTGCTGATTACATTTCAAAAGAATGACACTCAAGTCCAAGAGAAACAGACAGAGAGAGAGAGAGAGAGACAGTTCTCAGTTCTGGGAGATACCAATATTATCATCGCAAGCCCTTTTTAGTACATGCTCTTATCAATTAGGTTTTCGTAAAGTCTTCTGGCAGCTATGAGCTTCCTCAGGCAGGTATTTTAATGGGACCTGGGGTCATCCTAGGGACAGAGACTTATGCCACAGTCTGGCTTTGTCTCTGTGCAGATGTGTGGATGGTAGTCATCGTCCTTATCTACCCTAGTAGATACCCTAGTATCTCCTACCCTAGTACAAGCAGTTTTCAGTCCGTAGGTGGGCTCTGTCTCAAGAGTACAGGCAGTAGTATACTGATCTACAGTGCTGGAAACCACATGGCTACTGTGGGTTTGATCCCAAGTGCCCACTGAGTACATGTGCAGCAACACCCTGCCTAGCTGGGAGGAAGCATGACCAGACCCCATTAAAGGTGCCTGTCTTATTCACATACTCCATCTCATGAAAATGAAATAAAAATAAAATTTAAAAGAAAATCAGTAGGTGAAGGTAAAAATAAATAAATAAAAACACCTTTATTTTGTTAAGAGCTGTAGTCACCCTGGCAGAGGTAGAAATCTGGGTTTGGAGTTTGAATATAACTGTTCTATTTGAAACATAGGAATTCTCTGAGAAAAGGGACAGGACAAGGGAAGCAACAGAGCACCACCAAAGAGAGAAGACCACAGTGACAAAGATCAGAGATGGCAGAGTCAAAACTGATTTTCTGCTTCCTCACTGGGAAAAAAAAAAAAGAAAGAAAGAGAAGGAGTGAATAAGTGCAATCCTTACTCTTAACAAGTTAGGCACCTTTGAGAATGCAATCGCATTTCTCCTGACAAAGAATTAAGGCCAAAATGAGAAAGGAATCCCACAACTGCAGATTCCTAGGCCTGAGTTCAGTCAATGAACATTTTTGGATTAACAGTCAAGACACATTCATTTTGAAGAGACCTCACAGTCCCGTGGGAGAGAAAGGTATGCACACAAATGTGGTGAGGGCTATCAGTGGAGGTCTGAACAAGCTCTAGAGTAAAAACGCAGGGCTATCTTCCCACAAGCAGGTGCCACTAGACGGGATCTTGCAAAGTAAGGGGATCCAACACTGAATGCGACGTCTATGCTAGGACGGTTCGATCCAGTCCCTATTGGGGCACAGGGACCTCTTCCATATGCTTTCCATCGCAGTAAGTTTTCCTTCTCAAAGGATTTATCAAACCTTCTTGGCTTTTCCGTCTCTCCACTAAAGTGGGGCCTCTGTGACGACGGTGATGGCGAGTGTTCACTTACATAAATCCCGTGCTCAGTTAGAAAATGAATGACTCCACTTAAAGCACAAAGACGGCGGACCCCTACAGAAGCTGGCAGGCCAGGTGCCCTTCCTATGAGCAGGGATCGCTCTGTTCAAGTCTAGGAGGCCTCACCTTCGACTCAACGGGATAGGCTGGGGAAAGCTCGGGATTGGCCCCGGAAACAGGGAACTCGCTGGTGGTTCAGGGTAAGGAGGGACCGCGCTCCGGGCTGGCGTTCCCGAACCTATGGATGTACCGAACCTATGGATGCCACTCGTCCCGTTCTCTTACTTACATTCGCGAGGGGAAGATTTCAATTCGGTCTTTCCCCGACATTCTGACGGTGACTGTTCGACTCCGGTCTCCCGCTCGGTGATGGTGGTTCTAAACAGCACCAGTACCGGCCGCCACAGTCCAGCCACTGCTGGAGTCAGCTGGTTGTGTCACTTGACCCCGGGCGTTGCTAAGAGGCAGCAGGGAGGCGTAGTCTCACTTCCGCTTCCTTTTAGCACAGAGAGGGAGCGGAAGTATAAGGCGACGACGAGGCCCGGATGTTGGGGCGCGCGCACCGCGGAAACGCCTCTCGATTCCGGTTTGCCTCCCAGCCTCTCCACCTCTATCTCCCGGCGGCTGCGCAAGGCACTGCACGCGCCGGGCGAAGGACTAGGTTACACTCCTTCTCTTCCTCCACTTTTCGTCCGTGGTCACAGCGCCATCTTATGGTTGATTAAAACTTTGAGAGAGGATTAATTCTTCAGGAACAAGGAATCAGAGTCCTACTTCTTCCCCGCACCTTGAGGGTTACTTAGCAAAAACTAAAGGTAGCTAGAAAACGTAGCTATCGAGTCTTCCTGTGATCCGTAGTCCTCCCAGTTCTCGGAGGACCCGGACTCTATGATTAGTGATGAAGAGAGGCCTCTATTCTGTGGGCGCATGCGCGAGGCGAGGTGGTTTCGCATGCGCAGACGGGCTGAGCGAAGCGCACGCTGAGGCGGACGGCTGGTGCGGGTGTATCAAGTCAGGTCTCCGGTTAAAGAGCAAGGCGCAGCTCTCAAGTGCGGGACTCACACACATACCTCAGGTGACTACTCTCGCTGCTCAGTTTCTCCAGGAACTCACTTTGGATTGAGTACAGTGACATGGGGTGGTCGAGAGACGGTAGGCCTCGGGCTAACACCCCTCCCTTCCCGTCCCCGCGCGGGAAGTATCTGGACAGCTCTGCCACCACCGCTCTGTCATGGGTCTCCTCGCCGGATCTGTGTCGGCCTTCCCGTGTTCCAGAGGTGTGGTTGTAGGAGGGGAGGAATCTCTTGAAGTGGGCCAAGTAGTTATAGTCTTTTCCGTATGCTTAAAGTGAGGGTGCCTGGAGGTGGGCGCCCGGGAGAACGATCTGACACCCACCTCCGTCCCAGAAGTCTGAGCATTCTGCTTTTACCGGGCCTGAGAATTCCACCTTTTTTTTCTTCCGCCCCAGCAAAACTACTAAAAATTTCCCCCGATTTTTACTGGAAATCAGACTGAATTCTTTAAAGAACCAATGGAATGGGCCACCGTATTGGAAAGAGCTAGGTCCAAGAATAGATTATTCATCTGATCATTGATTTTCGAAAATTGCCCAAATTACCTTATCACTCTAGTTGTGCAGAGCGAGTCACTCTTTAAATTGAAACTAAATACTGCTGAGTAGTTTATTACTGTCAGTATCGGTTTGCCATATTTTGGCAGCGATGAGACTAAAACTATGGTCTTATAATTAAGCATAACTAAAGCCTACGATGAAATATTAAGGACTGAATACTTGTTCATCCTGTAGTCCCCTTAATTATGCCGAAAATTTAAGCTGCTCTAATTTTAAGTTAAAAAAAAAAAAGCAGTAGCAGAGTAGCCTTGATTTTTCTCCCAATTTAGTTGCTACTCAAAAAACTTCTAACTATGTGTCTTTCAACAGTTCAGGAGTTACTACTACAGAACTTTGCATCCCATTCTTAGTTCTTCTGATGCCAAAGTGTCTGGTGCACAGTAATGTTTGCAGAGATTTGATGATATTTCCTGTCTCAACGCAGTGAAATAGTTTAAAAGTTTTATTTGTTTAGCAGTGCTGTACTAAGAATTAACATTCCAGAGAGCATTACTGCTTTAATTAAAATGATCACAATCACATAATTTGAAAAGGAATATGGGCTTCCTTTATCCATTTTTGGGATGGTTTAAGAAATCCTTCTTGCCATTTGTCTGGGTGATAGTAATGTCAGGAGACTTGGGTTTAGCTCCTGTTCTGGCACTTAGAATCATTTGTCCTTCAGGAAATCATTTAATATTTCTGTTCGTGGCTCTCTGTTAGTTAATTACTTTCCTGCTCTTCTCATAGTGTAGTGATCCACTGATTGCCAGATCCCCCGTGGATACCAAAATCCTCGGATGTTCAAGTTCTTACATAAAATGGTTTAATATTTGCCCAGCCTAAGAGGTGCACAGGTAGTGCTACCACTTTGGGGAGGCTGAAATCTTCATGGGAGGCCTAAGTTTGGTTCTGGGCCATGCTGAACACGTCATGCAGGGCTGCATACGCCTATAAACCTTGCTAATTGGGAGTCTGGGGTGGGAGGATTAGGGCTAGACCCTCTCAGAAATACTTCTCTCTCTGTCCCTCTCCCTTCCCTCTCCACCTTCTCTTTTTTCTCTGTCATATAGGTTAAAAGTGGCTTAGTATTTGCATATAACTTACACACATCCTCCCACCTACATTAAATAATCCTCAGATTACTTATAATACCTAATACTACAATACCTAAATGTTATATGTTATAGTTGTTATTACTGGTTTTTTTAAATTGTATTTTTATTATTTAAAAAAAATTTTTTAGTATTTTTTTAAAGTTGGTTGAATCCATGAATGTGGAACTCAATGCTAAAGACCAACATCCCTTCATATTGTAATTATTTGCTTACTAGTTTGTATCAATAGTACATAGTAGATAACTGCAAAAAAAAAAAAAAAATTAACATATTACAAAGTGAAAATAAAACATCCTTTGCCTTTTAACTTCTTAGGTATGTATGACGTGACAACTTTGCAAAATGTTTTTACGTATATTTTATTTAATTTGATAACTTTAACAAACTGTGAGGGGGTTAGAAACCAGAATTCAAAGGGGGGTGTCTTTACCAGGCACCCACAACTAATAAGTAGGAGAGCGAGGACTTGGACCAAAGTCTGATGTTGTTCCCAAAGCTGAGTGTGCTGCTTGCCTGATTTTATACTGGTGGTCAAGGGCCAAATAAGTCAAAGTGCTTTGGGGGAAAAAAAAATTGAGGACTGAATACCTAAAGTAGTTTCTGTTTTCCTGACTCATTTAAAAAAAAAAAAAAAGTGAGTGAAATACCTATTTTTAAAAATAGTTATTAGCATTTCTTAAGGTAATATTTTTTAAATCTGTCAGCCAATATGCAGGTCCTTTCTGATATGGATTGTTTTTATACTTACTGGCTACTGTCTATTTTTACTATGAATAACATATCATCAGAAGTATTCCAAAAGAGTTGTGCCTCCTAAAGAAATATCAGTAGTGTATGTGTGTCTGTATTTGTTTACACTAGTGCCTGTGTTCTTTCATCATCAAATTAAGCTTTGCTTCCTCAAAGTCATCACCTTTACTACTTGGAGAAACTGAGTAAATGTAGTTAGTACCTATTAAATCTCGTAATTCTCTTCCACATGTTTCTATAATATTATGTGATACTCAGTTTGAAAAGTTAATATAGCTCTCAAATTTGAGTGCTTTACATACAATATTTGATGACAGTTATGTATCCCCCCCCCCCCCCAAAAAAAAGTCCTGTTTAAAAACAAAACAGCCAGCTCAGCTGTTTCTTGATGGATAATTCTGGCCATTGACTGTCTTCTTCCCTTTTATTTGTTAAATCCCTATTTTGACAAGCTACAATAGAAACACATCTCTGCCATTGTTAGTAATGTGCTGCTTTTTGTTGTTAAACGGGATAGCTTACTAATAGTTTGTACTCATATATGGTGTATGGTCCAGCACTGAACATGTATATTAATGTTGCTTTTTATGTAAGTAAGTTGTTCATAGTTGTAATACATTTATCAATAAGAGTGAGAGAAAATACACCCTGATCTATAGCACAGACTCTGGATCTAAATTAAATGTTCATAATACTTACTCTTACTGCTTGTTAGCAGCTTATGAAAGAACAAGGTGTTTACCTGTGCTTCAGTTTTTAATCTAGGAAATGGGGAGAACTGGTGATAAAGTGGTAACTCAAGGAGATAGCAAAGCCCAGATCACACAGAATTCTCTAGGTGGTAGGAAGATGTCTAAATTGGTAGGAAGCCACTGGGAAGATAGATGTGGGTGCCAAGTAGCAAATCTCATGCTGCAGTAGTACAGAATTCCAGTGTTTCATGAGCTGGATGTATTCATAGATAGCCTGGTTCTAAGGTCAAGTAACAGCAGCTTTATTTCCTAATTAGCAAGAAAAAATAAGGTGTGTTTGTTTTTGCCCTTTTTCTTTAAGAGAGATTTTTGCTATAGGTCACATGTGCTTGCTGGAGAAACAGAGACAGACAGCGAAAATCACTGCCCTGCCCCCCCCCAAGGGAGGATGGCCACACCACAGTCCCTTCTCCTCCCAGGATCTTGGGCACACATGCACATACACCCAGCATGAGTTTTAAGCCTCTAGTCTGGAACTCAAACTGTGGTTGAATACAAGGGAGTCCAGCGGCATAACTGGTATACCATCTGCTGGTTCCCCAAAATAAGTTATTAAATAAATTTTCATTTATTTTTCTTAGGCCTAGAAGTTTTATCTTCTGAGCTCTGATAACAGTAGCAGGAAAACATGAAAATCATCTGCCATAATTAGTTTAAGAGCTGCTTTTTAAAAATATTCTTCTACCCATGGTATGATTTCAGACATCTGGATCATAAAAGGGGTGGTGATGAAAGTAGGTTGGGTGGATCAGAGGGATTAATTTTAATAAATATGTTTCAATGTTTGGAGGTTAAGAGAAACTTGAACTTCAGAGTAAGGCTATTTTTAAGATTAGGTATACATATTCAACAAAAAAAATTGAGAATAATAAAAGCTAGAAATTATAATTGTGAATTTATGGAGGTTTTTTTAAGGGAAAAAGATTATGAGAAAAGAATACATTGTAGATTTTTTTTAATTTTTTGATTAATGAATTCTTTATTTTGTCATCTTGACTCTTGATTTTGGTTATAATATAGGGTATATTTGGTATATTGATTAAGTTTATATAGGAGATTCATTCTTAGGTAAGGGGGAGGTGGCATATACAATTTTAGTTGACCTGGAGAAAGAGAAACTTTAGTTTTGCTGATAGGTTTATAATAGTGATGATGCTTCCAATCATTTGGTATTAAAATAGTATTTTACTCTTAAGGTATTCCTTTAATCCTTAGGTCTCAGAATACTTTATAGATGGTCATTATTTTTTATGATTCCTATAAAACTGAGAATCACTGAAGCTTTACAAAAATGTGGCGCAGAATAAAAATTCAAACTTAGTCCCTGGACATCTGTCTGTTTTCTGGTACCATTTAAGAAGTTTAAAGAGATAAGACTAATAATTATGCTTCTTCCATCTTTTTCCCCCCTGGTGGCAAGATAGGGAAATTGTCAACAATTCTTTATTTTGACCTTCATTGGACACTAAATTGTTTCTTTCTTTAAATTGCAGAATGCCGGGTCTAAGTTGTAGATTTTATCAACATAAATTTCCTGAGGTGGAAGATGTAGTCATGGTGAATGTAAGATCCATTGCTGAAATGGGGGCTTATGTCAGCTTGCTGGAATACAATAATATCGAAGGCATGATTCTTCTTAGTGAATTGTCCAGAAGACGTATCCGTTCTATAAACAAACTCATCCGAATTGGAAGGAATGAATGTGTGGTTGTTATTAGAGTGGACAAAGAAAAAGGTAAGTCAAAAAAAAAAAAATCAGAAACATGTGTTTCTTTCTTTCTCTTTTTTTTTTTTTTTTTTTTTTGCTATAGGGCTCGAGCGCTTGCCATACACACAGAGACAGAGAGTGAGAAATCACCCCCCAGGGGGGTGGCCACACTGCAGTCCCTTCTCCTCCATTCTCCTCTTGGGGTCTGCAGCATGCACGCACACGTGCCCGGTGTGAGTTTTAAGCCACCGGGTCCAGGACTCGAACCGCAGTTAACTATGTGGGAGTCCAGCGACATAGCCATTACGCTCACTGCTGGTCTCCCAGAAACATGAATTTCTGATTTAAAATGGTTTGTTTTAAAATTTTTTTTATTAATTGTATACTGTAGTTTAAAAAAAAAAAGGAATTATTTTTAGAATTATTTTACTTAACTTTATTCATTCATTTATTTAATTTGACCAGAGAAGGACAGAGAGAGAGAGGAAAAAGTGAGAAAGCAAGCCGCCAGATATGAGACTTGAACCACAGTCGGCCATGTGGGAGTCCAGCACCCTTAACCACCATGCCACCTGCTGGCTGCCCAAAAAAGAATTTTTATACTTAAAACACTTAAATACAAAGTTCTATTACATGCCAATTAGACATCTAAGCAAGACCTCTTACGTTAGTACTTTAATTAATCATCTGAGACTTATTTTCTGTGAGTTGGATAACTTGAATTTTAACCTAGGTAGGCTAGCCCATGCCTGTAATTTTAGCTACCTGGGAGTCTGAGACAGAAGGGTGAGAAGTTCAAGTCCAGCCTGATCAACATAGCAAGATATTGTCTCTAAAAAAATAAGAACTTGAATTTTTATTACCTGTATTTTTCAGGATCTTGATAATTGGTTCATTATAACTAAACACAGAAGAGTCAGATAAGTAAACCAGAGTATTAGTTTATTCATCTACATTGATAGGATTGAATATTTTGGATGCCTTTTTATTGATGTAAAGCTAAGTTAAATGCAATGGAACAGTATTAACTCTAACTAAACTAAGGTGTAAGAATCAATATTATATATATGTACTATATAAGAATATATATGGTAATTTCTAGAAAAAAAAAATACAAGAAGAGGGCCATCTCCATATCTCAGTGGTGAAGGAAGCCAGACCCCACATGCTCAACTGTGGTTTGAATCCTAATCCCAGCAGCTTAAAAAACATGCTGGATGCATGTGCATGCATGCCCAAAATCCTGACAGGAAGAAGGAATAGAGTGAAAAGGATTGCAGCATGACTGCATCCCATTGAGGGATGCTTTCTCTCTCTCTCTCTCTGGGCCCCTCTTCCCCTCTTCTCCCCTCTCCCTCTCCCTCTCTTCCTCCCCCTCCCCTCCCCCCACTTCTGTGTGTGTGTGTGTGTGTCATTGTGTCAATGCACGCATCCTCTAGCAATTAAAATAAATGCAAAAAGTCAAGATGCCAAAGGTAAATCAAATGGAATTGTAGAAGAGATATTAGGGTAACCTAAAAGAGGACAGAATGGAGGAACAAAAACCAGAATGAATGAACAAATAAAAACCAAATATTCAGCTCTTTTGTATCTATGAGTTCAACCAACTCATAAAATGTTACACTACTACAGTTAGGCCATTTGTATTGAATATGTACAGTTGATTTTTTTTTTTCATCATTTTTTTTCTCCTAAACAATATAGTAATAACTTTTGACATAGCATTTACATTCTATCAGGTATTAGAAATATTGTAGAGATTATTTAAAGTGTCTAGGAAAATACATGTAGGTTTTATGCAAATACTACACCATTTTATATAAGCCACTTGAACATCTGAGGATTTGGGGATCTGTACAGTCCTCTGCAAGTACCAAGGGAAGACAATACTTAAAATATAAAGACGAACCTGGTTATATCTGTAATTACACTAGGGCCAGCCCTGTGTCCTAGTGGTTAAAGGAGCCAGATCCCATAAAATTGACCAGGCAGTTTGAATCCTGGCCCCATCATCTTGAAAAACACACCAGATGCATGTGTACACATGCCCCAAAACAGAAATGGCGAGAAAGTGATGGGGTGACCATGCCCCATTAGGGAGTACTTTCTCCCTCTTCCTCTTTCTATGTTTCTCTCTGGCAAGTGCATGTGCCCTCTGGCAAATTGTTGTTTGTTTTTTTTTTTTAATACACTAAATGTAAATCAAGTAAATACTCTGATTTAAAGGCAGAGATTGTTAGAGTGGATTAAACAAGACCCAACAATAATGCTTTCTGCCAGAGACATGGCTGAAAACTAGTGGATGGGAAAAGATACACTATGCAAACAATACCATAAGGAGACTGGAATGGATGTGTTAATATCAGATACAACAGACTTAAAGACCAAAAAGTATAACTGGAGCTAAATAGAAACATTTTGTGATGATAAATGGTCAAATTGTTCAAAAGACAGAACAGTCATCAATGTGTAAATGACTGATAATAGAACATCAAAAATATAAAGAAAAAAATGAAGAATTAAAGAGAGAAGTAGACAAATTTATAATCATAGATGGATGTTTGAGCAAGTTCTGAACATATGATGGAAACAGACCAAAAAAATCAGTAGATTTCAACCTGATTGATACTTAAGACACTACACCCAGAAAAAGTAGAATTTTGTATTTTTTTTTCAAGTGTGCCTCACATTTACCAAGATAAAAAATGAGTTGAGCCATAATACAATTTGAATAACTTTAAAAAGTTTGAAAACATAGAGTATATTCTCTGATCATATTGAAACTTAAGTTTGAAATCAGTATCATACCTCAGAGGTCAGGTATTCCCAAAATTGAACAAGCTTTCCAAATAACTATGCACCACATAACAGTGTCTATATCACTGACAGATCGCATGAATATACAATACTGGCTCCATAAAATTATGATAAAACTGAAAATTGCCTATTGCCTAATGATGTTCTGGTGTAGTACATTATATGTTTGTGGTGATGCTGTTATAAAAAATCCTACTAGATTGTTTGTTATATTAAAGTATAGCATGGACCAGTGGGTGGTATCATGGTTAAACACTGAATTTCCCACAAAGAGGAGAATGGAGGAGGAAAAGGAATTGCAGTGTGGTCATTCTCCCAGAGGGTGATTTCTCACTTTCCCTCTCTGTCTCTCTCTATGTCTCTGTGTCAAGTCATAAGCCATATGGCAAAAACCTAAGGAGAAAAAAAGTATAGCATGTATAGTTAATGTATGGAACATAATAGTTGATAATGATAATAAAAGACTCAGTTATTGGTTTACATATTTACTATACTTTTTATTGTTATATTCAAATGTACTCTTATTTAAGATTTTTTGCTATAGGGCATGTGTGTCCACCCAAGGGAGAGAGACAGAGACAGAGGGGAAGTGAGAAATCACCCCCCATGTGGACTGGCCATGCCACAATCCATTTTTCTCCATACTTTCTGGATTTGGGGTATGCACACACATGCACCTAAAATGATTTTTGAGCCACTGGGTCCAAGGCTCAAACCATGGTCAACTATGTGGGAGTCCAGTGCCTTAACCACTACATTACCTGCTGGCCACCTATACTTTTGTGTGAAAAGATTTACTATAAAACAGTATGTCATGTTGAACTGGCAGCCACCTCATACATCATCTGTTTCTTGATCACATCGCTTTCTCTCACACATAATTTATTCTCATGTTTTATAAGTATGTAACATGTTAGTACCACATACATTATGATATTCAGTGTCAAAATCACCTGATGGCAAAATGGAGGAGAAAAGATTGTGGCATGGCCATCCCCCCAGAGGATGGTTTTTCACTTTCTATCTCTGTTTCTCCAGCAAGTGCACACTCCCTGTAGCAAAAATCTCTCTTTAAAAAAAAAAAAAAGCAAGAAAGAAAAAAGGTAAACCTAAAGTAAGGGGAAAAGTAATAAAAATAGAATAAGTGAAATAGAAATTTAGGAAAATGGTAGGAAAATCCAGTAAGTTAAAAGTTGGTTTCTTAAAAGAACAAAATTGATAAACCCCTAGCTAGATTGATGAATAAAAAAGGAGAGAACACAAATTGCCAAGCTCAGTGATGAGAAGGGCTATCACTACGGATGCTACAAACATTAAAAGACTAGTAAGGGAATGCTGTTATCAACTTTATGCATAACATTATGCCAGTAATTTCAATAAATTAGATAAAATGGGCATATTTCTTGAGAAATTCAGTGTAACCAATACTGACACAAGATAAAACGGTAAATTTGAATAGTCCTATATCTGTTAGAGAAATTGAGTTTATTATTTAAAACTTTTTAGTTTTTACTATAAGAGCATATGTACTTGCTGGAGAGAAAAAGAGGGAAAGTGAGAAATCACCCTTTGGGAGGATGGACACACCTCAGTCCATTCTCCTCTCAAATTTTGGGTACACATACACATGCCCAGCAACTTTTTACAACTGCTAGGGCTAGGACTTGAACCACATAGTTGGCCATGTAGGTTCCAGCCACCTTCACCATCATCTGCTGGCCATTAAAAATGTTTTTATCAAGAAAACTCTAGGCCCAGGTAGCTTTATTGATTAATTATATCAAATATTCAAGGTGTAAGTATTTCACACTTGAAATTTAAAAACTTAAGGTGATAACTTTCACAAATATCTTTAGGAAGGCCATAAGAGACTATTTTTATTTACTTATTTTAGATTGTTATAGGGCATGTGTGCTCACCAGAGAGATAGAAGTGGGTAGCAGTGAGAAAACACTCCTTATTGGGAATAGCCACACCACAGTGTATTCTCCCCTGTTCTTTTCTCAGGATTTTGGGCATGCCTACACATGTGCCACTGTTTTTCAAGCCACCAGGTCTGGGACTTGAACCAAGCAGCTGGCTATGTGGGATCCAGCCACCTTAACTGCCACACCACTGACTGACCTAGAGGCATTGTTTTTTTAAAACAAAATATTGACCAAATCTGTCATGAGCAGTGATGCAAAAATTCACAGTAAAATATAAGCTTATAGAATCAAGCAGTGTAAAAAGGGTAAATAAAGCATGACCAACTACAGTGTATGGATTGCCACTTTTATTTAACACTAAAAACCTTATATATATTCTTACTTATGATGAATTGATAACTGACAGTAATACAGAGGGACTTGAAGAACACTGCTGGGACAGTTGTGTGTCCATATGTTTAAAAAAAAAAACAAACCTCAATTTATACAACTCACATTATACAAAAACTAAAATGACTCATGACCCAAACAGAAAAATCTAAAACTATAATACTGCTCAAAGAAAACATAGAAATACACCTTTGTGATCATGGGTTAGGCAAGGTTTTCTTTGATCCACATCAGAATCGTAATCCAGAGGCTGGCAGGTTGCATGGTGGTTATGACACTGGGCTCACATGGCCGACTGTGGTTAAAGTTCCAGACCTGGCGACTTGCTTTCTCACTCTCCCTCTCTGTCTCTGTCTCTCTCTGTTCAAATTGAATACTACTGCTGCTACAATAATAATAAATAAATAAAAATTTTAACACATAATCTGTGAAAGGAAAAATTGATAAGTTGGACTTTATCAAAATTATAAACGTAATGTTCTTTGAAAAACACTGTTAAGAAAATAAAAAGACAAGCCAAAATGTTTAAAGAACTATTTAACCATAAAACCTGTATCTAAAACCATATAATATGGTATTTCTTGGTTTTCCTCCATGATTCTTGGCTCAAAAGGGGCCTGCCCCAAGGCTTGGTGGTTGCGGCAGCCAGATCCCAGTTTGAATCCAGGACTCAGCAGATTGAGAAACACAGTTGCCCAAAATCTTGAAGGAGAGATAAAGGAGGAGGGATTGTGGCATGACCATTGCCCATGGAGGGAGATACTTTCTCCTCTCTCTGTCTCCCAGTCAAGCACATATGCCCTCCTAACAACACAGTTGAAGGGGGGCTAGAGGGGGAAGGGGAGAAGGAGCTCACACGTATTCAGACCCTTTGTCCTTGGTTCTTCTTTTTTTTTTGGAGAGATTTTTGCTATAGGGCGTGTGCGCTCACCAGACAAAGAGAGAGAGAGACAAGAGAGAGACATAGAGGCATAAAGCGAGAAATCACCCCCCAGGGGGGATGGTCACGCCGCAATCCCTTCTCCTCCATTCTCCTCTCGGGATCTTGGGCACATACGCACACGCGCCCGGCGTGAGTTTTAAGCCATAGGGTCCGGGACGCGAATCGCGGTCGACTACGTGAGAGTCCAACGACATAGCCATTACGCTAACTGCTGGTTTCCTGTCCTTGGTTCTTGAAGCAGCTTTGAAATAGCAGCAAAGAAATTAAGGTGGAAGACAATTTACCTTCTGTTGGTCTCCTTTCACCTGTTCCTTTTTCTTCCAAAGTAGGCCATAAGAACTAGCCCCAGGGTGGTCTTTTAAACTCTGGTTTCCGGGGACCTGCTGGTGTCATGGTCCTTAAGGCGCTTGACTCCCACATGATTGACCCGGGGTTTGAATCCTGAACCTGGTAGTTTGTTTATTACATAATTCTTTTAAAAAACGACCAACCAACAACAACAAACAAACAAACAAAAACTCTGATTTTCCCTTGTCTTTCTAATAGTAAATCACAAGATCCTCATTCCAGAGGGTCTCACCCCATATCTGGAAGGAACAAATTCCACACAGAGAGGCCAAGAATCTGAATAGACAGGCCTTACTGGGTTTCCCCACCCAGTGTGTTAGAATTTCATGCTATACAGTGAAGTCTCCATAAAAACCCAGAAAGACAGATTGCAGAGCTTCTGGATAACTGAACATGAAAAAGTTCCTGGAGAGTGCCCACAGAGGGTACAGAATCTCCACACTGTTTCCAACATACTGTGCCTATACATCTCTTCATCCATAACCTTTGTAATACCCTTTAAAATAAACTGGTAGATGTAAATTGTTTCTCTGAGTTCTGAGAATCCGCACTATGAGTTCTGAGAATCCACTCTATCAAATTAATCTAAATCTGGGATGGAGTCATGGGAACCCCAGTTTATAGCCGGCTAGTCAGAGTACAGTTGAAAACAATCTGGGGCTCGTGGTTGGCATCCAGTAAGGGGGGCAGTCTTGGAGACAGCCCTTAACCTGTGTGATCTGATGCTGTCTCCAAGTAGTGTCAGAATTAAATTAGATGACAACCAACTGATATCCCTTGCAGAATTGATTACTTGCTCGATATATAATAAAAGTATGCTCACATCATTTTTTTATAGGAGGTGATGGATCTTGGTGTGGTAGTGGTTACATGATTGTGTTCTTTTGTTAAAACTCACAGAACTGTACATTTAAAGTAGTGAATTTTACTATATGTAAATACTTTTTTTTTTTCATGATAGAGAATGCTTAGAGGGGGCCAAGTGGCAGGCCATAATGGTAATGCAGCTGGAATCACTTGAGAAAAATCCTGAATTCATGTCCCAGGACTTCCCTAAACATGCCAGGCATGCATGGATATGCCCATGATCCCGACCAGCCAGCCAAGGCTAGGGGGTGATTTGTGGTGTGAAGACTCTGTTGAGAATGCCTCTTCCTTTCACCTCCCCTCTCTCTCTCTCTCTGTCTCTGAAGGAATGCATAAATTTTTAAAAAGCATTTGACAAAATTAAGTTCAGCTTCCATTCATAATAAAAAGCACACTATTGGGTCATTGGAAAAGTCATGATGTTTTTCTATGCAAAAATACTTCATGACCTTTCTGATGACCCAATAGAAATAGAAGGAATTTTTAATCTGATAAAGGGTCTCTAGGAAAATGCTATTATACACAATACTTTCCACCAGTAATGGGAACAAGGCAAAGTATTCACTCTCCCCTCTGCTGGCATTATACTGGAAGTCCTAACCAGATACATATTTGTGGAGTTCAGCCATTTTCTAGCCATTTGAGCTTGACAAATTCCTTAACCTCTTAGGTTTCAGTATCTGCTGATTTACAAAAAGGTGAGGTGCAATGACAAAGAGCACCCATAATCTCCCATACAAGATTGTTCTGAGAGTTCGTTGAGATGCGTTAGTAAAGTACCTACCATAGTCATTTGGATATGGTACTCACTTATAGATGGTAGTTATTCTCTTGTGGCTTCTTTTTAATTTATTCTATTCTTTTGTGACTTCTGTTGAGAATAGCCTCTTTCCTTAAATTACATCAAGATCAGAGTATTTGTTCTGAAGAAGCACAGGGAGGGGTAGAAGTAAAAGGAGAGGAATTTGACTAGCTTTCATTTGGATAATTGGAAGTTCACCCCAATAATAAAGAATATATAAAATTACTTGACAGTTTATGCATTTCTGAAAAAAAAATTCTCATCTTGTACTATTTATGCAATATTTGTTGATAATGGTTATATTGGAGAATAATTGTGAGTATGCCAGTCAAATAATTTGGTTGTAAAAACTGATCACAACAGTATGCTGGCACCTGGATGGAGATAATTTTTTTTTTTACGATATTTTTATACAGGATATATTGATTTGTCAAAAAGAAGAGTTTCTCCAGAGGAAGCAATAAAATGTGAAGACAAATTCACAAAATCCAAAACTGTAAGTTGATTTTGAGTCAAATTGGTTCATCCTTAGTGCTTATTAAATAAGCAGCATGTGTTGTTTCTCTGAGGGGAAATGAAAAAAATCTACAATTTTTTATAATGTTTATTTCCAATTATGTGTTATTTGGCAATATCATTTTTTAAGACCACAACTCTAGGGCTTCTTTTTCTTTCTTTCTTTCTTTTTTTTTTCTCCAAATGGCACATGTGCTCTCCAGAGAGAGAAGGCAAGAAAGCACATCTCCCTCACCCCCAATATGGGGACTGGTCAAGCCACAATACCGTCCATCTCTGTTTCTCCATTTTGTCAGGATTTGGGGCACACATGCACACACAGCCACCATCTTTTGCAACCTGCCGGATTCACAACTCAAACCGTGTGGTGGCCATGTGATCCAGCCACCTTAACCACCATGCCACCAGCTGGCCCCTTTGGTGTTTTTTATCTCACAATGCAGTTGTGTTCTTAAAGTATTGCTTCTTAGTGCTTCTGACCTAAGAATCTCAAATCAGTACTTAGAAGCTAGTGTTTTGAAGCTTTTTTTTAAATTACTATGAGTTGTTCCAGCTGCTTTAGTTTGTTTCTGATTAGGATGTCACAACAGTTCTCGGGGTTTTTTTTTTTTTTTTCTTTTTTTTTTTAATTAACAGAGCGTATATATGCTCACAGAGACAGAAAAAGCACCCACCAGTGGGGCATGGTCATGCTGCAATCCCTTCATTTCTCCATCCTGCCAGGGTTTGGGGCAGGCATACACACACACCTGGCTTGTTTTCAAGCTTCCAAGGCTGAGACCTAAACCAAATCAGCCATGTGAGATCCAATTCCCTTAACCACTGGGCCATAAGATCAGTCCTTGTTCTTGATTTTAAGCTGTTCTTGGATAAGGATAACAGACAACCTGCTGTTGTATGTTAAAAATGAGCAGTGTCTGGAGGGGCCAGATGGTGATATAACGGTAAAATGTGACACTTTGTGAGGCAGTCCAACATGGGAATCCTCTGGGTTCATATCTGGAGACATCCCTGAGTATGCTGGGCACTCATGTGCTTGTGAGCAAGCAGAGTTGGTTGAAGTTGGGATTAGATTGTTGTGTCAAAACCCTGTTGAAGGTGCTATTTCTGTCTCTTGCGCATGGAAAAAAAAAAAACAACTTAAAAAAAAAGAATGGGCAAGAGTTTGTAGAATGTCTGACGCTAGGACAACAACTCAGGGACCTATTGCTAGTTTGTTTTGTTTGTTTACATTCATTCATTCACTGTACATCAATACAGTATACAAAATGAGATTTTCCATCCAGAATACTCTGTGTATTGGCTCAATTAAGGACATTACCATACATGTTATCATCGAATAATGTTCCACTTCTTGTTTCTGCCCCCCCCCCACCCCGATTCCCTGTCTCTCACCCTCTGCCATCTCCCACCCTCCTCCCACACTGTCTTCGGTCTCTCCAGTATCTCCAGTTGTTTTCCTTGCCTTTATTTTTTTGCCCCCATACTTTATTGATTCACTAAAGATCTTAATTAATCTAAAAACATTCAATAAGGGAACCAGCAGTTAGCGTAATGGCTATGTCGCTGGACTCCCACGTAGTCGACCGCGGTTCGTGTCCCGGACCCGGTGGCTTAAAACTCACGCCGGGCACGTGTGCGTGCGTGCCCAAGATCCCGAGAGGAGAATGGAGGAGAAGGGATCGCAGCGTGACCATCCCCCTTGGGGGGTGATTTCTCGCTTTCTGTCTCTATGTCTCTCTCTGTCTGTCTGGCGAGCGCACGCGCCCTACAGTGAAAATCTCTCAAAAAAAAAAAAAGATAAAAAAAGAAAAAACATTCAATAACAAGTGTAGCTGATGAATACATACATATCTATGAACACATGTCTGACTTTAGGCGTAAACCTAAAGTAAGTAAAGCGAACCTAAAGTAAGTAAAGTGAACATACCATAAAATAGCACCTCGCTTGGACTATATAACTTACTATAGTCATTAAATAGGTATTTTTTAAATGCATTTTTTAAAAAGAATTATTTTATTTAACTTTATTTATTTTACCAGAGAGGGACAGAGTAAGAGAGAGAGAAAGAGAAAGCAAGCCACCAGGTCCAGGACTTAATCCACGGTTGCCCATGTGGGAGTCCAGCACCCTTAATCACCACGCCACCTGCCAGCCCTTTAATACATTTTTTAATTTAAAGAAAAATAGTTTTAGTTTTAATAGATCAAAATCAAAAAATGTTAAGAGAAATTTGCTTAAGACTTAAAGCCAAAAAAAGGTTAGAATTCAGTTCAAATAGTAGGTAGATGAAACTAGCAGCAGTTCAAGAGGAGACAAAAATCCTTAAATCTGGAAAACAAAGCATAAAAGAAAATCAGTAATGTTTTAGTCAAGTCATAAAATTTCTATTTCTCCAGTTCAGTCTCATGTAATTTCTCTTCTACTGAATTTGCAGTGTTACTGTAATCTTTCCATTTAAACTTTGGAAGTTAACATTTAACTTCGGACTTGTTCCTACCATTAGACTGATCATTTTCTTGGTTGTTTTTTGAACTCTTATTTCTGTGTGTTCACCTTTAGTTTTCCTGGTATAGCACTCCCTTCAGCACTTCTTGGAGATCTGGTGTGGTGTTGGTAAATTCTTTCAGGTTTTGTTTACCTGAGAGTGTTTTTGTCTTTTTTCCCCCATATGTAGTATAATCTTGGCGGGTACAGTATTCTTGGTTGAAGTTGTTTTTCATTTAACACTTTGAATATATTTTCCCATTCTTTCCTTGCTTGCATTGTTTCCAATGAGAGGTCCAACGTTAGCCAGATGGGATATCCTTTGAAAGTAGCTTGATGTTTGTCTCTTGACAACTTAGTATCTTGTCTCTGTCTATGGTTTTGGTCAATCTGGCTGTTATGCCTTCGAGAAAATCTTTCTGGGTTGATTCTATGTGGAGTCCTTTGTGTTATTTGAGTACTTCTCTCAGTTTGGAAAGTTTTCTTCCAGGATTTCATGGAATAGATTATCAACACCCTTAGTTTCTTCACCTTCTGGGATACTGATGATCCAGATGTTTGGGCGTTTAATGGTATCTAGTATTACTCGTATGTTATTCTCATTTTTGGGGATTATTTTCTCAGTCTTTTTGGAGAGTTTTTGCTAGGTCAGAGGTTCTATCTTCTACATCTGAGATTCAATGTTCTGCATGATCTAACCTGCTTTTAATACTTTCAAGGGAGGTTTTGATTTCCTGTATTACAGCCTTTATCTCTAACCATTCCATTTGATTCTTTTTTATGATGTGTATTTCCTCTTTCAGATCGTTCAAGAACTTCCTCACCTCCTGGAACTCGTTCTCTTTCTTCCTGGAGTTTCTAGAGTTTCTAGAGTTTGTTGTCTCTTTTCTCTTGCATCTCTGTTAGCTTTGTCACTTTGAATATTTAAAAATTTTTATCTGACATTTCCACGAGTTCCTTTGTATTGTCTATGGAGGATGAGGAGTTAATTCTTTTCCATTGGGGGAGAGATATTTTCTTGGTTTCTGATATTTGTGCCTCTGCGGTGGTTTCTGGTCATCTGATGGATTATATGTTTTTTCCTAGTTTTTTTAGTTAAATCTGAGCATTCAGAGGCATGGAGGAGGAAGTGACCTGCAATCTCTAAACAGTACAGTGTTTTTCTCCCTTTGTGCAGCAGGTTCAGTGGAAATTGAGGATTAATCTGACCCTAAAAGTATTCAGGTATTTGGTTACGGTGCACCTAGACCTGTCTAGAAACTCAGTGTGTGTAGGATGTGCAGAAAAGTGAGAAAGGTAAAAAGAAAAATAAAATGAAAAGAGAAAAACCCCCAAAAGAAGAGAAAAAAAAATTTTTTTAAGACAAAAAAAAATTTTGTTTTAAAACAAAAAATTAAAACTGCATGGCGTGCTAGCATGCTGCACGAAAAGAACCACTCAGAACTCAGATATAGATGGCTGGTGATTGTATTGTCCTGGGTCCTGGCGCAGCGTGGGGGGGGGGGGGAGTGCAGGAGGGTAAAGTCTGGGCAGAAGATCTAAGTCCCTATTGCTGGTTTTTGTTTTTTTCCCCCCTCCTCGTTTGTTAGGATTATTTCTTTTTCCTTTTATTAATATTTTTGCTCTCGTTTCCTACTCACTTATCATCCACAGTAAACACTAGTGAAGCAAGAATATTCCTCATTTTTTTCTGTCTGTATTTCTCTGCTCTAGGTTCTGTTTAAATTGTTATACTTCATTCCCGGGACCAGCAGTTGGCATAATGGCTGTGTCACTGGACTCCCATGCAGTCAACCGCAGTTTGAGTCCCAGACCCACTGGCTTAAACTTACGCTGGGCACATGTGCGTGCGTGCCCGGGATCCCAAGAGGAGAAGAGATTGTGCTGTGGCCATCCCCCTGGGGGGGGTGATTACTCACTTTCTGTCTCTTTGTCTCTCTCTTTGTCTCTCTCTTTCTGGTGAGTGCACATGCCCTATAGCAAAAAACTCCAACAACAACAAAAAAAACCTTCATTCCCTTGGTCCTTAGTTCTTAAGGTACAATTTCCATTGTTTTGCTTTTTTTTGGGGGGGGGGTGTTGGTTTTTGGTTTTGTTTGTTAATTTGCCACAGGGCACATATGTATACTCAGAGAGAGGGAAAGTCAGAAAGCACCCCCCGGGGGGATGGCCATGCTGCAGTCTTTTTTCCATTCTCCTCTTGGGATTTTAGGCATTTGTACATGTGTGCCAGCATGTTTTTTCGAGCTGCCAGGTCTAGAACTTGAATCCAGCAGTTGGCCATGTGGGACCTCACATTAACCACCATTCCACTTGCTGGCTCCATTGTCTGTTTTGTTTGCTCTTCTCTAGTATCTCTTCTCTTCTACTATGTGTGTTTCTGTCCTCAAGATAAAATGCAGAGAATGTTTGAATGAAGATAATATTTTGTAATCTTGCTTAATCCATGTTAGAGAGAAAAAAGGTCTTAAAAGCCCTCAGATTACCCTAATCTTTCCCTTTGTTTCTCTGATATGTTATATTATTAATGAGTATGCTTTATATTTGAAAACACTTACCAGTAAATTCTCTTATTAAATTCTCTTATTCATGAAAGTGTGTACACGAGAGAGGAGAAAGAGAGAAGCATCCTCAAGAGCGTCTCATCACGCTGCCATCACCATTTTCTAGCCTTCCGGCTTGTCAGGATCTTGGACGTGCATACACACACCTGGCTTGTTTCAGGCAGACCTAGGCATCTGAGCTCATGGTCAGCCATGACTTCCTGCACTGAAGTTCAGTTTGCTACCAACAGTGCCACCAGGCTGGACCTGTGATCCATTTATTTATTTGTTTGTTTGCTTATGAATGAAAGATTTTTCTTTAGGACACGTACGCTCGCCCGAGAGACAGAAAGCGAGAAATCACTCCCTGGAGAAGGGGGATTGGCCATACTGCAGTCCCTTCTCCTTCATTCTTCTCTCCTAGACATGCACACATATGCACCCAGCCTGAGTTTCAAGCCGTCAGGTCCATGCTTATGAATGAAAGATTTTTCTTTAGGACACGTACGCTCGCCCGAGAGACAGAAAGCGAGAAATCACTCCCTGGAGAAGGGGGATTGGCCATACTGCAGTCCCTTCTCCTTCATTCTTCTCTCCTAGACATGCACACATATGCACCCAGCCTGAGTTTCAAGCCGTCAGGTCCAGGACTCAAACTGTAGTCGACTACATGGAAGTTCAGCGACACAACCACTTCGCCATCTGCTGGTCCCTGTGATCCCTTTTTAATAGGACCTATCACTCAGAACGTAGTCTGTGTACCAACCACATTGGCATCACCTGACTGCTTATGAGAAACGCAGACCCTTGGGTTCCACCAAGTTTGAAAAGCCACCTCTGGGAACCTTCCATATTTTTTGTCTCCCTGGGATATTGTTAAAATGAATGTTAATAGATCTTACTAAAATGATAAAATATAAGAGCCAGTGTTAGTACCTTCTTACTCAATTTTCATGTATAATTAACATGAAAATGTTTATACTTTTTCTCGTCTCTAGATCCTTTGTTCTATTAAGGAGGTTAAAAAAGAGTTTTGCGGGTGGGTAAAATTGAGGGATAATTTTTAAATAACAGAGCAGAAGAAATATTAAAATCTAAATCCTGGTTCCATGCTGTCATATGGAATAATAGTAACAGCTTATGTTTGTATAATAGTCCTTCATTTATAATATGTGTTTGTATATACTTAATTTATTAAAGAGCATACTTTTCTCTCCCTTTTCTGGGTGAGGAAATAATCAAATGGCATCATTTGTCTCATTGTCAAGACATGATCCAATCTTAGGACCCTAAATTATGTATATTTCTACCTATTATGGAGAAAGAACTTGTCGTATGGAGATCTTTTGTTAAGAAATTGTTGCAGTCTGGGAGCAGCAGTTAGCGTGATGGCTATGTCACTGGACTCCCATGTGGTTGACCGCGGTTCGTGTCCCGGACCCGGTGGCTTAAAACTCACGCCGGGCGTGTGTGTGTGCGTGCCCAAGATCCCGAGAGGAGAATGGAGGGGAAGGGAATGCGGTGTGGCCATCCCCCCTGGGGGGTGATTTCTCGCTTTCTGTCTGTCTGTCTGGTGAGCGCACCCGCCCTATAGCAAAAACCTCTCCAAAAAGAAAAAAAAGAAATTGTTGCAGTCAAAGTACGCTTTCTACTAAAATAGTAAAATACCTTTTTTATAACTCTCTTATCTTTGAATTGTTACACTCTTCATTTTGTTCTTAGGTGTATAGCATTCTTCGTCATGTTGCTGAGGTATTAGAATACACCAAGGATGAACAGCTGGAAAGCCTGTTCCAGAGGACTGCCTGGGTCTTCGATGACAAATACAAGAGACCTGGATATGGTGCCTATGATGCATTTAAGCATGCAGTCTCGTAAGAACACCTTGATTCTGCTTCTACCTTATCAACATAGCTGCTGGGTATAGCACACAGGGTGATAGCCTGACCTTTTAAGAGCACAGCACCTGTATTTTAAATCCTTGACAAATTTAGACAAAAATATTTCAGCATTAATGGCCCATGAGGACCAGTCCCATAGCCTAGTAGTTAGAAACCAGCTCCTACATGGCTGACCTCAGTTTGAGTCCCAGCCCTGGAGGCTTGAAAAACATGCCAGGCATATGTCTGCATGTCCCCAAAATTCCAATGGTGGCTCATTTTCTCTTATCACAGACTTGGTTGGTCTCTCTCTCTCTCTCTCTCTCTCTCTCTCATCATTTTCCTTCTAGTCTCATTGGTCTACATGCACATTCCACAACTGGGCAGGAGCCACAACTGTGACCCTTCTCAGTCACTGTGCCCATGTTGTCCTCAGTAACCTATGGCTCTTTATGACCCAGGACACAAAACCCAGTGTCTCAATGAAGTGTTCCCTCCTCTGTTTTCCTTCTGCATCCACAAATGATCCTCTGTCTGCCCTCTTGCCTACGCTCAGTCAGCCTCAGACTAAGCACCGCAGCACAACTAGCACAGCAGTTAGAGAGCCAGATCCCACATGACTGACCTCAGTTTGAATCCTGCCCCCAGAGGCTTGAAAAACATGCTGAAAACACTAGCAAGAAAGCCCCAAATCCTGACAGGATGAGAAATAGAGGAAATGGGATATGACCACACCCCATTGTGAGGATATATTTTCCCTCTGTCTCTTTCTTTTCTCCATCTGTCTCTCTCGCTCTCTCTGGTGAGCGTTTGTCCTCTGACACTTAAAGGTGCTGGGATAAGATGGACCAATATATATGGTCAGGTCTATAGAGTTTCATCTTAAACATTTTCATTTCCTAGTTTTGTTATTCTCCCAGGTGACTTCAGGACCAGTGTAGATGTCTCACCCAAAACATAACCTCTTATTTTCTTTACCTCAGTCCTCTTGACTTTCAACCTATAACCACTTTAGCCAGTTTTCTACTTGAGTCTCATTATCACCAAAATTTGCTCTGCTTCTTAAAGCTTTGATTCATACATTCTATTCTTTCACTGTAGCCTCCTGTCCTTCCAGCTTCCACATAGTTAGTCTTACTCTGTGTCTTCTTAAGTATGAAGCTCTGATCCCAATCTTTTCTCCCTCTGTTTTCACCCTTTCCTGCAGAGACACACCATGATCCACCATTTCAACAACTTTCTTGCCAATGTCATGAGCTTTTGCTCTGCTTTTCCCTCATATCCAGCTGTGGACCGATGTTCTTGCCTTCTCTGCACTTGTAGGCTGCTGAGTGCTGCTAGGAACAATCACAATTTTGCAGCCTGGTGCCACTGCACACTCATGGTCTCCAACCTCCAATGGGTCTTCACTGCTGCTCCCTATTCTCTGTACTCCTGGTCAGTTTTTCCTCCCATTTTTGTAGTGGCTTTGTTAGATCTTCTCTTTGCTCTGCCTTAACTACCTATTCTACCTTTTCCCTCACAGCTAGTGAGCTGCTACATATTTTATAAAGAAAATATAAATCATTGCATAGGACTCCTCTACTTCTACTCTCTCAGCACACTTAACCTCCATCCCACTTATCATTTCCTCCTCTGCTTCTGACACATAGAAATTTATACTTTTCTTGCTCTCAAAATAATCTTACCACCTGTGCCAAGCTTCTGCTTTGGGACCCTTTTGCATCAGTTTCTCTCTTTCAGATTGTCACCCTTTTTCTTTATTAGTTTTGCTCCATCAGCATAAAGATATTCATTAGTTTCTTTCATTTATACGAAAAGACAAACTTCTCAACCTTCTTTCTACTTTTCTTTTGTGATCAGTTTGTCCTCTTCTTTTAACAGCCAGACTCCCTCAATTCTGTGCACTTGCCATCTCTGCTTCCTCACCACCTACTCCTTCCTAAATGTCAGTGCTCCATGAGCAGCCCTACTGCTGCCAAGATACTGGTCCCCTCAGCCATCTGAATGGCCAGAGCAGGCATGGGACTATTAGAGTCCCCAGCAGGCCAACTCTTCTGGGGCTCCAAAGCCCTGCTAATGTGATTGAATATCTTGTAATATTATGTCATGAAAAACGTAGGACTAATAATAATAACGACCAGCCTTTATTGTAATTCCGACAATGACCTGTGCTGTAAGTTCTATTATTACTGTCTTAAGATTGAAGAAATTGAAGCAGAGATTAAATAATTTGCTTAATCTTACACACCTAGTTATTCAAACATGGGCATTCAGGCTGCGTCCAGAGTTTGTGCTGTCAGCCATTGGGCACTGCTTTATATTTCTGTCCTGCACACCTCAGTCAGTACGTTTCATCACCTGACCCCAGTTTACCTCTCTCTCCTATTTCTAGCACCATTTCCATTACCCACAAGGCCTTGACCGATGTTAATCCCTTCCCCTTACCACTAGCATACTGACTATCCAGATTAAACTAATGCTGTTCTTTGCCACGTGTGCTTCATATTTTTACTTTTAATTAGGAAATAAAAATTCTAGGCCAGCTTAATTGCCTAGTGGTTAAAGGAACGAGATCCCACATGGCCAACTGCTGTTAAAATCCTGGCTTGGCAGCTTTTAAAACATTCTGGACACATGTATATGCATGACCAAAAATCTCGACAGAATGGAGAAATAGGAGGCCTTGTGGCATGACCATACCACATTGGAGGTTGCTTTCTCTCTCTCCTTGGCAAGTACACATGACCTCTGGCAGTTAAAAATAAATTTTGTTTGTCTCTTTACTTATGTATCAGTAGAGTATATAGAATACATTTTAAATATAAAATGTAATTCTTTATTGTATTTCTGTAGCTTGCATTTTTACTTGTAAGGCTGTCAGCAGAATTTCTCCAAATTGATAGATAAGAACCTACTTCAGCCATGTTCAGCCGTGTTAATATCTATGTAGCATTTCACTGTGAGAATGCTTTATCTGCTCCCCTTTTAAGAGATACATAGGTAATTTTCCTTTTTGCTGCATTTTTCAAACAATACTGTGAAAATTACCCATGTACATAACTTCATATGTACATTTTTGAGAGTTTTCTCCTAAGACTAGGATTGTTGGGTTATAGGATTGATTTTTATATATCTCTTTAAACTGATTTAGTTTTACCAAATTAATTCTCTAATTTATTGATATATTTCTTCTAAAAATTATGTGAGTTTTCTTATTTCCCTTTACCCTCGCCAATATTTGGTAAATATCTCAGATTATTTTTTTCCTTTTGCCTCTTGAAGTACTGTACTATTGTACAGTATCTTTGGATTTATGTGCTCATGATTGTTGATTAACAGCTTTTCATGTTTTTCTGTGAAACATCTGTTTATCTTATTTGCCCATTTTCGATTTCTTTGGTCACCTTGTAGGCATTTCTGTTGGCTTGCCTTCCTATTACTTTGTTTTTGATTTTCAGTTCATGAGAAAGTGAAACCGAGACAGAGTCTCCTCACACCATGATCCCCTTGCCGGATCCCTGCAGCTAGTCAGGATTTGGGGCATGTGCACACTAGGTGTATTTCAAATCCACTTACAATTTGAACTTGAAGTTGCCTATTTGTTTCCAGTGTTGTGCTACCATCTACACCACTGAGGCTAGGCCATCTTCCTATTGCTTTGTTATTAGCTAAGTGAAAGTTCCCTCCACCCAGATTCTTTTCATCTTTCATTCCTTAACCAGATCTCATACTTTTTTTTCTCTCTAGAGACAGAATCTCTGTGTGTTGCCCATGCTAGCCTCAGACTCTTGCCTCAGCCCAGCACCAAGTGGCTGGGATTATAGCACAACCACTGCACCTAGCTAACCCCATGCTTTTTTTTTTTTCCTCAGATTGCCAGAGGGCACATGCACTTAACTATAGAGACAGAAAGAGAATGTAAGAAAACACTCCCCATGGGGAATAGTCACACCACAGTTCCTTCTCATTTCTCTCTCCCTTCAGGATTTTGGACGTGCATGTGGTATTTTTTTCAAACCACCAGGTCCTAGCCCTATCCCATGCTTTTAAGCCTGATTGCTTGTGCCATTCCTTTTTTATATGTCCTAACATTTCATAACAGTTCTACCTTTGCTTATTAAAGTGCTACTATTCTTTTAGTATTTTTTCATGTGTTCAACAAATATAGGAGTGACTGAAAGGCACCTGGCACCTAGGAGGCTTAGATGAAATGATACTTTGTTCCTGAAACCCTTCCTCATTAGTTACCCCACTACTAACCGGAAGTAATACTTTACTCTTCTGATGCCCCATGGATGCACTTTATTAAGTTTACTCATGTTTCTGATCTTTTCAAGCTAGATTTTTAAGCTCCCTGAAGCAAGGACTGCTAATTACATGGAAATAATTATGAGATGTCAGATATATTAAGCGGCATTTAATTACCTGATTTAGCCAGATCTTTAAAATTTTTCTTTTAATAATTGGTTATTTTCCCTTTGTAACACATTAAGTGCTTTACTTGCATTATCTCATTTAAAATCCACAATATGCATTATTTCATAATGTAGTGTGTTTGGTTTCATTGTTATCAGTAATAGAACCAACCATGACCTTTTGTAATTTTTGGTTTTGTTTTAGAGACCCATCTATTTTGGATAGCTTAGATCTAAATGAAGATGAACGGGAAGTACTCATCAACAATATTAATAGGCGATTGACCCCACAGGCTGTCAAAATTCGAGCAGGTAAATGATTTTTAAAGTATTTTCCATGCACCAAAAAAAAAGTGATTAAATAATGAGACTTACTGAAGAACAGAAAATTTTTCTAAATGTTTTTTTTTTTTCTGGAGAGGTTCTTTCGCCATAGGGCGTGTGCACTCGCCAGACAGAGACATTGAGACAGAAAGTGAGAAATCACCCCCCAGGGGGATGGTCACGCCGCAGTCCCTTCTCCTCCATTCTCCTCTCGGGATCTTGGGCATGCACGCACACGCACCCGGCGTGAGTTTTAAGCCCCTGGGTCCGGGACGCGAACCGCAGTCAACTACATGGGAATCCAGCAACATAGCCATTACACTAACTGCTGGTTCCCATAAATGTTTATTTTTTTATAACAAAAGTTGAAAAGATTATTTTTGCTTCTACTACAGCATCGTAAAGTATGTATATTGGCACAAGTGGAAACAGTCATATTATGAGTTCAGTCAGCTAACCTTAAGTTGGCTTTTGATTTTAAAGGGAGGATTTATTTTATTTTAGTGCATGCTTTAAAA